TTGTAATGCAATCAGAAAATTACTTGAGGTAACTTCCGTTGGTAGACACTTCAAACCAAATGAGAATGAAAAATGAGTCTTGAATATTAGCCACCTAGTGAAACATAATCTAAACAATGAACCTGATTAATGATATTTTACAGTTTAAACCCCAGACAGATCGGCTAAGATAAGTCTATAAATCACCAAGTTTGTTCTCCTTAACACTTCGGCTAATTTGAATAAGCTGTTGTGCTTAAACTTGGAACATTATTCTGTAAGATCACGGTAACCCATAGAATAAATCGAACAAATGGTGAGCGTCTTAATTTAATATATCAATAATATTTTATGAAAGCGCTTAAGATTTTGAACAGTCGATTAAATATCATCTTTTATCATGGAGCTCTTCAAAAGAATATACCTGAAACCTTTCTTGGGTATGACACCTTTCAGTGTAGCTCTAAAACCTCGGAACCAATGTTGTTTATTCCAATCAACCTATACACAGAACAAATTTTAAAGTCGAAAATTCCTGCGCTATACAATTATTACTGAAAAGTAGTATGTACCAAAAATTGAAAACTTAATATGCGATAAAGCTGTTTTTAAAAATGTTAACCAAACCATTGAGGTGAAAAATTCATCACGTTGCATGTGGAGTCCAATGGCTACTCACATTCGTAAATCAGCCGTCAAAGCCGCAATTCTTCTAGTTAATGTTAATTCTCGACTAAACCTACTTTCAAATAATTCATTATCGATTTTTTTTCCTTCATGTTCCCCTAGTGGCTTGAAGTTTTTGTAGCAGTGTTTAATTTTACAGGACTGGGTTGCTAGCGTCATTCCCAACCTTTCCTCTATACCAACATTATTTCTGGCTTAGTGAGGTAAAGGAGTGCATCGGCCGGGATCGAACCCCGGCCCATGTGCATGGTCAGCGGGCGTCCTAACCGCTACGCCACCGACGCCTCATTATCGATTTAGTTCATGGATTTATCTGAATGCTTCAATCAACTCTATTTATTAAACATTCGGCTGGTTGGAACTGCAGTAAATCATGGTCATACTTTATTTCAAATTTCGATAATTTCCAATTGTTGCCATTTCGGAAGAAATTTGCATTGGACAAAGGTAACTTTAAACAACATATTCTGTATTTCACTAGGAAAACGAATAGAACGTTAAAATGTGAAATACTTCTTATGACATAACTACCATAGCTTCAAAGTGAAACTATTCTTAAGAGACTAAGGGTATGTGAAGTTTCACTTTAGAGAAAAACTCACATCTTCAGATAAAGTTATTCCCCACCATTGCTGCTCTATGCATACAAACTATTATTTATCATATCCCTATTTATAGCACGTTAATGACAGGGAAAAAAGTTGAAACTATAATTCACATGACTCTACTTGTTCGGCTCTTTTGAATGACTGTGTTTTTTTTTACTGAGAAGGGAAACTAAGGGTCGATGTACCAATAAGATATTTATATGATTTTACCACTTTCATCAATATTTGTTCTCTTCAATATTGAACCAAAGGTAACTCTAGGAAATTTTTGGAATCTTAAGAAGATAAATGTTTGTTTCTGTTAGAAATAGGAACAAAGCCGTACTGATACTGACAGAAGTTGTGAATTTACTTTCATTCTTACTATATACACCCCTACATAAAAGCGGATATGTCCTGTAGTGTGATGCAGTTCAGATGCATATATATATATATATATATATATATATATATATATATATATATATATATATATATATATATATATATATATATGTCTAAACTTTGTTGGTTCTACTAATAAGCAGTCAAATTTAAAGATTTCTGCCTGTGTTAACCGGTTGAATAGTATCATCACGACAGTTTAGTTTTCTGGGAAAAATGTATACCCTAGTAACTATAAAAGGTTTCTCATAGTTCATGTGTATAATATAATCCTAGAGTAGTGATAATTAACGCATAAGAATTCTCTTTTATAAATTTGAGCAGAGAAAGAATAAACATTTGTGCAGAATAACATGGATCCCTTTTATTTCGTTAGTTCTTGTCAGCTGCGTACAACCTGCTATCCTCAGTAAAATATATCGGTGTACAATTTTAACATACTTTTGGCTGTCAGCAGGCATATTGTAAGAGATTCACAGTGAAATAAACATCAGGATGATAAGGCGTTTGCAGTACTACAGTATAATATACCTTGTTAGAGAGAGGTTTCTCAAAAAATTAATTGATAAATTTGTTGTTAGGACGGTAACAAAAATTAGTAACATTTACGTAGTTAGACAAGAAAAGATCAATATTAGGTGCACAAGAGGTCAAATGAAAATATGACGATGTATAATACGGTCAGTGGAACTCAAAAGATCAAGAAAAAATTTTCTCTTATGAAAGTCAAATGGAAAAAAGATAACTTAGTGAAATTGGAAAACGAAGAGTTAATAAGAAATGAGTTACGAGGGTTATTGAAGTCCAATGACAAATTCCTTTTAAACACATAAGTTAGCTTTAAGCCATTTTATTACGATAGCCTCAACAAACCGAAGACTTGAGCTATTTTCTCTATTAATTAATTACTCCGTGTCTATCAGGTGTTTCGTGATTGAACAGCTTAAATTGTTTGGCCCTTTTAACCAGAAGCCTTCTAGAATATGTTTGAATAATCTGACGTAGGCCCATACCCTACTTAGTTCATGTTCTGTGTGATAAAGAAAGCATTAGACGTGAAACCTTTGACTTATTAAATAGTCAGTAGAACAACTGGATCTCGTCTTTCCAATTCATATCATTTATAGGTACAACGTTTTCTTTCTTCTCCTTTTCTCTGTTATGTGCTCCTTTGTTTCTTTCTTCTGCTTACGCCAGTAAATATGCTAGCATCTACTTTTCTAACAACTTCAAACACTCTGTTCAATTTTGGCTTTGTTACCGACATGTCAATATGTTGGTGTTATAATGAACTGAGATTACCTTAATCTATGTAGAATTTTATTTATTGATAATGTACTAACTGGATGCAATACTGTAGTAAAATACTGAGAATTCCATTCTTTATTCGCAATTTATTATTATTATTTGTGTTCTTCACTATGATGCTTTTACAATATGCCTTTTGATAGATAAAAGTGTGTTAAAATTGCATACTGACTCATTTTGCTAAAGATTATGTGTTGTGTGCAGCTGATGAGAACCAAAGAAACAAAGTAGAATCATGTTATTCTGCACCGATTTTTGCTCTTTTGCTGCTCAAAATTAACTTATAGTTTAATGAAGTAATTTGGTAACTAGAAGTAGGAGTAAATCTCTTCTTATTAAGGACTCGTCGGCTGCACGTACATTTTCATCCACTGTATCAACGATAAAATTAACTTGGACCTCGTATTTCGCGTTTAGCTAACATCCAATCGGTTAAATTGCTGCTCATAACATCTTGTTCAGCATTCCTTAGAGATGCAAATTCTCAATCGCTCGCTACACCTATTCGTATACACCCACACATAAATCAATTCGCAATAACCAGAACTTTATGTCGGATGTATGAATTCAGCTTAAATGTATGAATACAGTTAAAATGATATCGCCTCATCAGACAATTTCATTCCAATTGAACACTTATTATGAAATGTATAGTGAACACAATAACCTTCGAGAGACATATATAGGAATTTTTTTTAAGCTGGACAAAATTTTTTTCTTATCTAAGCGTAATAAAACACCCTGAAGATGGATATTCACAGCACGACTACTTTTTCAGTCATATTCACATTGAAAGGACTAAACACTCCCTCTGTTTACTATTTGTCGTTAATTTTTAAGGTAGGCAAGAGTAAAGAGGATGATATTCACCAGCAACCGTTTTCTGGCTGTGACTGAAAATCACTGAATAACAGAGTAAAACACATGCCTCAGTTGTCCACACTGTCTGTTTTCAACATAGAACTTTGCACTGATGTGCACCAGTTCAAGTCGCCACACTCCCTCCTTGTAGCACACAAACCAAGAGAAGAAAGTAGAAGAAATGCATAATAGAGTCAGTAAACAGAGGTGTGAGACAAAGGAATAGTAGTAACGAAGAACAATATAGTTTCACTGGAAATCATAAGTCTCAGGGAGTGGATGCATATGCGCCACTGAGAACGATTTTGAGCCATATCACCAATTGTTTCCAGACATTGGTTTTTACCGTCCCGAGGACTACACACTCATAGAGACTAGATATAACATTAGAACATGGAGTACAAAGCATACTGCAAAGGAACAGTTGTCAGACTTTGTGCGTAAAATACTAAAATTCATGTATAGGAGTATATCACGATCTATTGGAAATGCCAATATGAAAATTTACGAAACTGAAGAGTTTGCACGTTCGTTAAATCACGTACATCACAATATTGTGTTAATACTATAACTAGAGAGGCATACTTAACGAAGACAAACACTTGCCATATTTCTTAACATTAGGTCGAAAAAAACAATTAGGGGGTTGGTCAGACAAAGACAAACCTACAGTCTGTGATAAAATTACTTTGCAGAAGTCCTTAGGATACAAATAACCAACAGTTAGATGCACCATTTGATGACATAGCTTGAATACATCCACCACGTAGAGTAGTTTGTCGCATGAAAATTTTCAATGTAACATATCTCGACTATTTCTTGTTATTGAAAAAAAACCCGTCTAAATTCAAATACTCGCCGAAGACATTGGCTAGCGGTCGCGCTATGTCGTGAATTAGCACAAGTTAGTATACATGGGCCATTGGATCGGGTCCAAGTGGCTTAATGGTATACGAGCTCGCCTTGTAACCAGAAGGTCCTGGGTTCGAACCGTGAAGGTGGGTGCGTGCTGCCAAAGTGTTCCAAACACTAAGACGAAACAGCTGTCCAGTACTCCCAGGTTTTCTAATGGTTCTCTAACTAATGTCAGCTCATGGTGAAATCCTGTAAACCAGTCAAATCCCTACAAACCAACACTTGAATAACCTCAATCATTAAAGAAAAAACACTGAATGAAGCTCCAAATCAACTTAAATGAGGAGTTTTAAATCCCGTGTTGGTCATTATTTTGTTTACTGTAGTATTTTTAGTTAAGGCACATATTGAAAAAATAAATTATTCTAATTGAAAGTCAACTAATAAACAAATATCTCGAATATTCTGAAAAACTCTCTTTGAGAAACAACACTCACATATACAAAACAACAACAACAACAACAACAATAGAAATAAGAAAACTAACGACTTTACGTGTATAAAAAGAAACACACACACACACGCAAATCAATACGTGAGCAGTAGGCAAATAAACAAAGATACAAATGATTGCTGGATCCTAAAGGGGGAAAAACAGAATAGTCGTAACAAAAGAAAATGAGTTATTTACAGGGTTTGACAAACAAACAAAACAAAATATCACCTGTATACGTTTACATGTAAAAAGAGAATAAAGCGAAAGGTAACAGACTAGAAAGAACTTTCAAAGATTCACAGTAAAAAGGATTTTCCCAATCAATTTTTCATTATAAAAAACACCCTATACAGTAGACTTAAGCAAACAACCGACTGGATCAAATATGTATAATGTTCCTGTATTTGAATCGACTGTGACCACCGTGGGCGGAAGATCGATTGATGAAAGCGGATCATAACTCTTATCACTAAGATTAGTTACTAATCGACGACTTGAACTAATCATCAAAGGTGGAGATCTACCAGTTACGCTGCATGCACCAGAAGACAGAACTCTTAATACTCGACACTGTTGCACATCGAATTTCGGTAAATTTATATTTATCACTTTATGCGGGACACTGACACGTCTTGTAGAGTTAATAGGACTAAAAGTCAACTCTGGTGAAGAATCATCAGAATCCCCAGTTGACGAGTCAGTCTGCTGATGAGTGGATTCAAAAGGCCAAACACATATGCGATCAGAGAGACCAGCTAATAAACGTCCATCTGGTGACCAGGCCAATTTATGTAACCATGTTGATCCATAACCAGCAGCTGTGGAATAGAAATCAGGTCGCTTATGCAAAAAACGATTGTCCCTAGGATGATCACCACGAGTTGGAAAATTTTGTAATGGATCTGGACTAGGAATACGAACCGCAGACCTCCGTACATGATCACCACTAACAGCCAATGAATTATTAAATCGATACACGTCCGGGCTTAAAGCACGCCCTGAATATAAATTCTTTTCGCTTTGAAGAGTACTATAGTAATATCCTACTTGATTACATAATCTGAAACATAAATAAAATAGATTAGTGATGGTAGTGATAGGGAAAATGAACTGACAACATACAAGAGAAATATATTTTGCTAAAGAAACGGGACATCCAACCAGTGTTTGAAAAATACAATACAATAAATTAAATAGCAAATTTCAGTGATAGCAAAATCGATTATGCAGGTTTCACTGAGATGAAATATCACTTAAGCTAAGAAATTAGTTCAAATGCCAACCCATTCATACAACAGCTCAGGGTTACTATGTGACTGGAGAGTTCATCTAAGAAAATCACAAAAACTCAAATACACTCACTACTAAAACTTGTTACAGGCAGCACCTTTAGCAATTGACATTCCCTAAACGCGTTGTTTTAAAATGAAAGATTTAGTTAGGATCAACATCTGATTAAGACATGAATATTTACTATTATTTTTTTGTGTTGCAAGTACAACATAAGGCTTCAACAGCACATCACTGCCTCAGCCTACTCTCTGAATTCCTTTTCAACTGGCTCCACTATTAACCATCAGCTCTCATCTCCCCATGTCACTCTAAAGACGTCAAACTTTTAGTCCCGATTCAGGGTTCCAGTTGATGGCCTGGAGAGAGATGTCATTCTAACGTCTCCTCAGCGTATGTTCAATTCATCTTCTTTTTCTTCAACATATTTGTTGAACCAGCAATAGGTTCTTGACTGAATCATCCCAAAAGTTCCTTGTTGTTAATACTTTCCAGTCGGCAATCTAATCTCCAGTAAGAAGCGAAGGCAGTTGTTGATAAAAGTTTGAAGCCCTATTGTAAATGGCTTTGGTGACACGTTAAGTTTCTGAACCGTATGGAAGAAATAATTTGACATTGGTGTTAAGAATCCGAATCTTCTTCCTTAAGCTAAAAGCCGCAGATTTCAACACTTATTTCACAGTAATGGAGGTCTGTCTTGCTTTTTCAATCCTGCATTTGGCATCCTATTCCATGCCGTCTGTAGGTGAAACAATACTCATTAGATAGTAGATTGAAGTGTATTCCTTCAAATTTCTTCCATCGATGATGATTGGTGCTTGTTGTTGTTGGCTACTTATTTTTATAGCCGCTTTCTTTTCCATGTTCCCTTGAAGTCCTGTCTTCGATACTTCTTCTGCCAACTTGTTAGTTTTCGCCTATAGATCTTCGAGTTTGTGTGGCACTAGACATAAATCGTCCACGAAGTCCAGATCTTTCAGAGTCGTCTTGTCGGTTATCCGTCTTCTTACTTCCCATGGTCTTGACGCCTATCTGTTACGCATAATGACTTTTTTCCTTCACGTTCTCCAGTGGAACATAGGGCTTCAAGCTAGTGGCTTGAAGTTTCTATAGCAGTGTTTATTTTTACACGACAGGGTTGCTAGCCTCATTCCCAACCTTTCCTCTTTACCAGCATTATTTCTGGCTTAGCGAGGTAAAGGAGTGCATCGGCCGGGGACCAAACCCCGGACCATGTGCATGGTCATCGAGCGTCCTAACCGCTATGCCACCGACGCACAATAATGAGTTACACCAATGAAATGTAAACATGAGGAAGTGCTGCTGAATTGAGAAAACAGGCTTTCCTGGTAGTCGTTTATCATTCTAATAATAAGATACATGGGAGTTGTGATAATTATATTTATAGACTAAGAACATTCACTAAATATATATGATTGAGGTAAGTGGAAACAAAAATCAAGGATATTCTAGAATGCTAAGCAATCAACCCTACCAGTTCATTTACAATTTCCTCCATTAAAAAAAACATCCCATTGAGTGAACTTAAATCCTACAAAAATAGTAATCCGCCTTTGTATTAATTGAACTGTTAGCAACCATAATCATCTCATGTATTTCATACTTATTGTGTGAAGGTTGATGAAACTACCCAGTTACCAAGACATAGGCAGGTAGTAAAACAGAACTCAAGCCCATGAACTCATTGGCTGAAAACTAACTGCTTTAGCCACTGAGCAACAGCTCTTTAAGACTGTATTGTTTTGTCGTAGGCTTTTTTTTAAAGGAAGATTATAAAGTATGACTTACATTTGCGTTGTTAATCGCCAAACGCGCAAAGTGCCTTCATCATCACCTGTAACTAGAATTTGTTCTTCATCTAAATTACTCATCGATTTATTAATCGTCGGTCGGAAGGCTACAGATCGGACACACATTGGATGTTTTCCTGTATCAAAAGCCATTATTCCTGAAGGTAAAAACCATACCTTGATAAAAACAAAATCCAAAGAGAATTTAGATAAATAAAGAACATTTCAACTGATTAAAAATGCCCATTAAAATTTTCAAAAGAATGGATACTGAACAAAGAGTACTCTTTTCGATAAATTCATCATCACGCTCTACAGTTATATATACATTATAGTGAATGGCCGTTGCTCTAGGAACTTGATTTTTCATGCTCGAGAACATCTTCCAGCATGGCTAAGTAAAGGTGTAGTGAAAACCATTAACAGCTCGATATTGGACCATCTGGTGCAAACCGGCCACAAAGTCAGCGTAGATGAATCCTTCTCTATATGATAGCGGGTGCCAAATAAATTACCAAACAGCTGAGGCTATTGCGATTCGCCTCAAACAACCAGCGCTCTGTGTCCAAAAGAAGCAAGTCCAAGCCCTACTATTGCCATGGCCTTCAGTAGAAGCTATAAACTCATGAATTCGTAATATTATCTTTCCTGATTTTTTTCTGACATTCAGCTTATTTTATGTTGGTGCTTTCGAGCTGTAATCTATCAATATTATTGATTCGATGTTATTTAAATAACATTAATGTTGTTCATAACTAACCCATTCATTCACTATAATGTATACATAAATGTAGAGCCTGATAATGAATTTATCGAAAAGAGTACTCTTTGTTCAGTATCCATTGTTTTGAAAATAAAGAACAAGTAACATTCACTAAGTAGATGCCCTAAAAGAAGACTATACAATGCATAATAGACTCATTTTAATGATAAAACTTCATTTTCACGGAAACTTATAAACAGTATATTAACTTAAAAAGTAATACGTAGTCCTAAGTCAGTAGAAAAAATTTATCAGTTTGAAGTACACCAGTGATACTGTTAGAGGTGCATAGCACAGAAGAAATTCTAGACCTAAATAGTGCCATTATTATTAAATATCAGTAAAACTAGTTCAAGTAGAATATTCACAACCACACATGGGATAAATATTACCAAAAGTACGATGTAATGCAAATCTCATAAAAGTGAACACAATAGAGAGTTTCCGAGTGGTACACCTAGATAGTATAAAGAGGTGGTATCACTTCAAAAGTTGAGACAAGTGTACTTAAAACACAGCTAGTAAATAAGGTTTTTTATTGACAAAATCGCACAACTAACTTTTGCAGTTTGATCTGTTGACCCCGTAACAAGCCACTGACCACTTGATTCAATATCAGCATCCGTTATAGTCATTGGTACATGAGCATCAAGATCCAATCGCCAACAGGTATCCTTAGAATGGGATTCCAATTCATTATTCGGAGGGCACAACTCACGACCAAACACCCGACCATCACGTCCAGCTGTAAACCAGACTAACATCTGATTTCCTTTAATAGAGAATAAAGATTTTTGTTGAGCACCATGTTTCCGATAATCGTACATTAAAGGATGTTGACAGCGTTCAATCAAACGACATGTAGACCAAGTAATGATGGAAGTGTCGTTACTTGAAGAATCATTTAAATGCTGCGATTGTAAATTAGTATTCGCGTTTTGACTAACCACTGTACCATTTGAAAAGTCTGAACTATTGTGAAGTTTTGACCAACATTCCGATGGATAAACATTAACGCATGATACATTTGGATCAGAAATTGTGTGGCATACATCGAAAAGATACCATGTCTACAAATAGAAATAAAAAGTTTCAAACATGGAGCGGAAAACCGTACTTATAACTAATTACGTTCACAAATATGCTTCTTGTATTAAGCATACTTCATAGTATTCTGGGTGAGATGGGGCCTGGACGCTAGTATTCAAAAGCCACCACTCATCATATAAAGTAAACTCAAGTTAAAATTCACAAGAAAAGAAGGAAAGTTGAGCATTAAGCCAACAATCCCATATCGTAAAAATAAACACAGCTACAGAATGAAATATATGATAATAAACGGCGGAGATTCGATATATTTCTGTGCGTCAGTGACACAGCGGTTAGGACGGTAGCCGACTATGCATATAGTCCAGGGTTCGATCTCCGGCCAACGCACTCCATCACCTCGCTTAGCCAGAAATAATGCTGGTAAAGAGGAAAGGTTGGGAATGAGGCTAGCAACCCTGTCCTGTAAAAATAAACACAGCTACGGAAACTTTAAGCCTCTAGCTTAAAGACCTATGTTCCACTGGGAATGTGAAGATATTTTTAAAGAAATCACACGAAACTTGTAAACAATTATGCATTAAAATAAACAACAAACGAGCATTTTCTAAGGTGTTAAGGATTTAATTACACGACTAACTCTCATTTACAATGTTTTAATAGGTCGGAATTACCAATACTTAGTAAAGAATATTTGAACCAGGAAAATTAACTTCAAGTCTAAGAAAACAGAACCCTCAAACGTATACTCAAAATAGAGTATACTATAAAAATTCAATAGTTCAAATCTACACAGGTTGTTTTTAACCTTGTAATGGTCTCAGACTGTAAGTGTCTAAAGAGAGCATACACTAAAGGCAATGTTTGAGGAAAATAAAAACAAGTGACTTAGCTAAGAGACTCTTCCCAACGAATTCATTATCAAGCTGTTTTACTCATTCCGTATGTACATACTCGCCCTTATTATTTCTACTGATATTATTATTTTCACCTTGAACAATTTTCTATATTATGTTCCGTGTCATCTTTCATTTATTTAATTAAAATAATAATTATTTTGCAATGTTTCAACTGTTTACTAATCTCTAATTAATTTTACACTCCTTTCTCAGATTTATGCATTCCATAAACTATTTTATAGAGTACAATCTCTTTCACTGATTCTTGTTTACCTAAGACTACAAATATTTTGCAGCAATTCATATTATTTTTTTTAAAGAATCATATAAGTACGATTATACACCTTGATAATCAAAAAATCTGTTGGACGGAGTCTCTATGAGGTGAATTTATCTGTGTTTTACACTGTACAAGTCCTAATGATAATTTTCAATAAAATTAAAAATTGCACGCTAACTCAAGAATTGGTCTAAGTTAGAATTCATGGGCTAACCAATGAATCAGGTCCCAGTGGCTGAATAGTATACGAGCTTGCCTTGTAACCGGAAGGTCCTGAGTTCGAACCCTGGCTATGGGTGCGTACTGCCAATGATTCCCAAACTAGGATGAAACAGCAGCTGTCCAGTACTCCTTGCTTGTTTTCAATGGTTCTCTAACTGATAACAAAACGTGATTAACTCGTAAAAACAAAATTAACCCTTACAAACCAACTATATATAAAACTTAAGACATATCAAGTAATTAATTTTGTAATGAAATACACTGAAATAAACAATGACAGGCAGGGAACGATCTACTTCAGTAAAATACATATTTCTGTTGCCCAATTTTGACATAAGGACTATGCTCAGTAGTCTGATAAATAAAACAATATGACAAACAGCAAATTTAGGAAAGACTTAGGCGGACACTATCGCAGACGGAAGAAAACAAAAACATGAAAGCGTGTATATGTTAAACCTTGCATTTCAGTACTAAAAGACTTAAGTTATGAGTATGCATTATATATATATATATATATATATATATATATATATGTTATCCCCCTGGGTTCCGAGTGGAACATAGGGATTCAACAACACATCTCCACTTTCTTCAATTTTCTGCTGTCCTCTTCATCTGTGTCCACGATCACTCATAATCTCCCATCTCCTCCTCCTTCCTATTCGCATTCCACCCGAGCGATGGCCTATAGAGAAATGTCATTCAACGGTCACCCCAGTGCGTGCCCAATCTATCTCCGTTTTCTTCTACATATTGCTGAACGATAGCTCCTTGGTTGGTTTTTCGCCATAGTATCTTGTTGCTAATTATTTCTGACCGGCTGGCCTTTCGATCTTCAGTATGGAGCCAGCAAATGAGGCTGTTGATAAAAGTCTGTCATAGCCTGTTCAAAATCCTTTCCGTGACATGTTAACTTCCTAACCCAAATAGAAGAACTGATTGACTTCATGTTTATGTTGAAAATCCGAATCTTGTTGTTTTCTGCTGAGTGCAGAAGATATCCAAACGGATTTCAGATTGATGAAGGTGTTTCTTGTATTTCCGATTCCGGCTTAATTTGAAATCTTCATGTATTCAACCTGTTGACGTTAGGCGTAGAGTGTTGGGCAAAGAGGGGAAATCAATCGACGAGGCTATAAAGTTACATAGACTAAGATGGCTAGGTCACGTGCTGCGCATGCCTAACCACCGCCTCCCCCGACGGGCTTTGCTAGCTGATATAGGTGCAGGTTGGAAAAGAGTAAGTGGTGGCCAAACAAAAACATGACATCAATCCATGAAATCCTTGACAGTTAAACTGAGTCATGTAGGGAGATGCAGACTTCCGGGTTGGGGCCCTCGGGACTCTAGGAATCAATGGCTGGAGACAGTAAGTGACATGGCTCAAAATCGTTGTCAATGGCGCAGATGTATTCAGTCTCTGTAATCTTTCATATTCCTTTCTACCACTACCTATTCTGTTTCACTCTTATATTTGTCAAACTCTATTAATTCTCTTCACTCATCTTCTTGTCTACCTCTGTGTGCTATTTGGAACGTGGCAACTCGAACTGCTGCACTTCGGTGCCAAGTTCTATGTTGAATCCAGACAGACAGACAGAGTATTCAACCTGTGGTTGAAACAATGCTTCCTAGATATGTGAAGGAAGTTACCTCTTTCAAATTCCTCCCGTTGAAATATATAAATATATGATCATAAATAAGAATGAAGCACCAAAAAGGGATTACTGAAATACCCTTCAATATTACTGTTCAAAACATCAACATCCCAGAGGCACCTACTACATAAATGTCTATTATTTCAGTGTGGATTTTCTTCAATTACCATTGAAAATACATATAAACGATGGAGGTAATAACAGTAATAATAATAATAATCATAATAACAGTGATACCTTCACGCATCCACTTTTATAAACGCCAACAACTAAAAGAAATTTATTATTTTCGACAATATTTGCCTCCAAGTGCTCATTAGATGGAAACGTATGAAGATGTAGAATATGATCTGAAGGTTCAAAAGAAGGAGAAGAAGAAGAACGTTGTTTGTTTAATTCACCATTTGATTGATTTTTGTCTGGTTCACAAGCCAACAGATGATAACGTTTCACTATCCCATATAATTTTGAATCATCATAGTGTAGAGAATATACCTGAATGAACAAAAAGAATTAAATGTGGAGTAGGCAGATTGTTAAAATACATATACGTTCACATAAAAGCAAATAATAAAATGCTATTGATAAGTACGTTTGTTGATAACCACTTTTAGTGAAGGGTGTAATACGATCACAATCTAGATAATATTACCTAATCTGGATACTCAAATTTCAGATAATAGGGATATACAAATTATTCAGGCTGAAATATCGACAAGTAAATGATGTCAGTCTTTGTGTACATTTTTGTTATTCCCTCTATGAAAAGAAATTATTTCATACTTTTAATAGCTAGGTAAATATCACATGCATTGGTATAAAACAAAAGGTCATATTGTGTGTTTAGAGGTCTAAAAACTTAATCTCAAGAAGGCAGCAATGTTGTTCGGCTCTATGATGTAGAGATACTTAAACCGAGTGAAATCTCCATACAACATTGAAAGTTCTTAGCAGCAATGACAGTCAACAGTTGACTTTGTGATAGTGAATTATGCTATTCAGTGAATTTCACCCAACTAAAATAATAAAGTGTACTGCAGAATAATGACAAGAACACTTAGAAGGTAACTGATATTGTGCAAATAAAAAAATAAAGACAATACACAGCAGAAGAAATGTACTGGCCTAATGGTCCTTTTAAATTTAATTTAAACAGTCATGAAGCACAAAACTAGCACTTAAACTGCCTTTAATTAAAGTATGTTGGTGCCCAAAAATATAAAATGGAAAATTTCATGTATAATAATTTTATTACTCATAAGTAACATTAAGTGTAACAGCTAAGAAATCAAGAGGCAATAAACATTTCTCACATGAACTAAAATGTTTAAAACCACACGTATAATACTGTTACAAACCCAGCAAAACTGACTAATTTTCGCCATCCCAGGTGGAGAAAATCCTTCAGCTAATTGTTGAAATGATGAGGAATCAGTAACACTAAACAGCTTTATAAAATGGTAGCCCAAGGTTGAACCAGGTACCTATGAAATTCATATTTGCAGAAATCTAAGCTGTCATGTCCCTTAGTATTGCATCTGTGACGATTGTATATGTCAATTACAATGATTGCGAATATCAGTCAGTTCAGCTACAGAATTTCCAAAAGGACTCAGGAAGATAATTTGGGACATTTTAGAAAGTATGATCCTTATTAAGTCTCATTCCAAGTAACCAATAAAAACAATAAGTTTTACCGAACAAATGACTCAATGCAAACTCAAAGGAGGTAAGAGTCTCTAGAAGCCTGAGAATGGAACGAATCAAAAATTAACACACATGAATAAAAACCTAATACTTACAAAAGTAAGCAATCATTCCTAAACAGAGAACTAAATGAGTGAGTGAACAATTAAGTACACTGAAGTAATTTGGTGGATGGTGACTAGCAGTAGAATCAAGAATGAGCGTTTCGTCCTATTTGGGGTTCGTCAGTGGATGTACCTACATTCCGCAGTGAGTGATGGTACCTTTACTGAGGCTCGTACCCAGTACCCATAGTTTCGAAAGTCAAAGTGTTTCCCACTAGACCATTTGGGCTACAGTAGCCACCTCTTATTAATAAAGCATTACAGCAGAGAGTTAGTCTAAAAGTGGCCTAAAGGAACTGAAGATCAAAAAAGGAAGCGCCAAAAATCTACTTTCAGTAGGTTGATTTGTTTTCTTCGGATTCAGTTACTCGAAACAGAATTTGTCCTACCGTGCTATGAGCCATCCTTAGTGTGTTACGGCTGGTGATAATATGCAGTTACCCAAACTCAAAATTGGTTGGGGTGGGACTCAAACTCGACGATTATAAGCTATCGCTATTATCATTTCTACGTGTTTCTTTTCGTACTTTTTCTTCTTTTCTTCGCCTCCTTTATACCTTCCAAGTGTAAATTCAACTAACATACTTCTTATCTAATAATTTCCACCTTAACACATGCCAAACCTTCACTTCATTTATTGATTACTAAAACGATTCAGGGTCAGCGATGTCACTACTTCCTAACATATTCAATACCAGACTAATAAGCTTCTATCTATGTTATTTCGAAGATACATTTTCTGAAGAAACCAAAACACAAGGAATATTTAACATTTAGAGAGTACACATTTCCTTTTTCTTACCCTTTTAGTAACATGTACGTATGTCAATTACTTGGTTTCTTACAGACTCTGTCTTACACTAACAAGTTTCAAAAGCGGGAAGGGAAAAGATTGTGATAACCAGTCTGTAGCCATAAATCCTATCATCAAATGAGCTTCTTATGTGGTTACTGATTAGGTATACCTAGAGTTGTAGTGCACTTTCAACCATTTTTAGTGGCTACAGACAATGAGAAGATTCTATTTAATGAGTAAGTGTCAAATGATTCCTCAGCCACCAAAATGTCATCAAACGTGTGCAAAGTATACCTGCATAAACAAGTAGAATCCAAGAAAATCATAAGAATGATACAAAACTAAAAAGTCATGATAAGATAATAACTCACTATAACATTCCCTGAACTAAAACCAACAGCCATCCAATTACCACCATTCCAAAATGAAACAGCGGTAATTGTACCGAAAAGTAAACTTGGTAATCCTGTAGTCAGTATCCAGTGCTTGGATGGCAATAATTTTCTTGGATTTTCTGATGACGAGCATGATCTATGATTACTTCTTCGTGGACTTTTTTGTACAGTTTTCGACTCGGAGGAATTAGTTTCCAAAGGTTCACTTTCATTAGTTTGAACTGATGGATTCCAGTAAGATGAGTGACTAGGTTTAATAGAAATCTCTTGGAATGAACATGTTACATCATCATTGTTATTCAACTGTTTTGGCCGGAATAAAAACTACAATTATAGGGCAAGAAAAAGAGCGTTGTTTTTATGCTCAAAGAACCACGCTTGAAATTGTAAATACAGGTCATTATATAAGCTGTTAGTTTCCACTTATGAAATTACAAACGACGTTAAACAGTAAAAGTAAGATGTAGTTTACAGAACATGGACCAGCAACAGGTGATTTTACCTTAATAATATTTCCTAATTCAACACACTTGATAGGTCTAACTGGACTGTTCAATACAGACATTTTATATATTACACTATGACCAACATGACGACTGAGAGTTTATGACACTAACTGATTACAGGTGTCGAAGTCTGTCTGTCTGTCTTCAACATAGAACTTTGCACAAATGTGCGACAGTTCAAGTCGCCACACTCCGTGTAGTACGCGAATCAAGAGAAGAAAGTACAAGAAAAGCATAATAGAAACTGTGAGCAGAGGGGTGAGACAAAGGAGGAGTAATAACGAAGAACAAAACGGTTTCATTGGAGATCATAAGTCACAAAGAGTGGATGCATCTGCGCCACTGAGAACGATTTTGAGCCATGTCACCAATTGTTTCCAACCATAGATTTTTACCGTCCCGAGGACCCCAGCCTGGAAGTCTACACCTTCCTACGTGGCTAAGACCAACTGTTGTGGATTTCATTGACTGGTGCCAAGTTTTTGTTTGACCGCCGCTAGCTTTTTTCCAGCCTGACCCTATATCCGCTAACATTGCTCGTCGAGGGAGGCGATGGCTTGGCATACGTAACACATGTCCTAACCATCTCAGTCTTTGTAACTTCACGACTTCGTCGATTGATTTCCCCTGTTTACCTAGCACTCGACGCCTAACTTCAATGTTGCTCACCTTATTATCCCACTTTACACGGGAAATAGAGCGCAGGCACCTATGATCAAAGACAGCCAGCTAGTCTTTTCATGTCTTCCACTCTCAGTGGCCAGGTCTCACAGCTGGCCATATAGGAGAACGGAGCGGACTGATGAGCAGTACACCCGCCCTTTGGTCGATAGTCGAACATCTCGTCTACGCCAGAGGCGGCGTAAACTGGCAAATGCGAAACGAGCCCCTTGTATTCGTGATGAGATTACGTCAGACATCAACCCGTTGGGGCTGATGGTACTTCCCAAATAAGTGAAGCGGTCAACGTGCTCTACCACTTCACTTCCTATTTTTAAACTAGGCATCGATGTAGTCCAGTCCTGTAACATCATCTTGCATTTGGCGGGAGCGAATCGCATGCCAAACATTCGTAGATTGCGGCTCAAGGTGTTTAGAAGACTCTGCATTTCGTCAGCGTCTTCGCCTAGAAGGACTATATCGTCTGCATATTCTAAGTCAACGAGATTATTCCCCGGTAGCAAGTCAATCCCTGAGTCGCTGAAGTCACCTAGGGTTAAGTCCATTAACACATCTATGATGAAGTTGAATAGCAAAGGAGATAATGGGCATCCTTGACGGACACCACTGGTCGTCATCAGTTCAGATGACAGCTCGCCGTAAGCCCTCACCTGGCTGTATGAGTACGAGTAGAGTGCCTTTATCAGTGCAATATATTTTCTCGGAATTCCCTTTACAGCCAAGTATCTCCAGAGAACTTCTCGATCGACAGAGTCGAATGCTGCCTTTAGGTCAAGAAATATAATGACTGTTGGACGCCGGTAGGAATCCCTATGTTCTAGAATCTGTCGGAGGGTGAGGATATGATCAATACACCCTTTTCCTGGTCTAAAGCCTGTCTGGCTCTCTCGTGTTTGTGTCGAAGTAAAGCAGTGTGTGGGTACCCAACACACTAAATGAAAGATAGTCATAGACAAAACTGCGTCTACAAAGACAGCCACAATTCCACCTCTTCTTTATATTATTATTATTGTTCCCTTGGGTTCCTAGTGGAACATAGAGCTTCAACTGCACGTCTCCATTTGTTTCTGTCTTCTGCTGCGCTTTTCGCCTGCATCCATGTTAGTCCATACTGTTTCAACTCCTCTTCACACAATTTCCTCCATGTCACCCTTCCACTGACGTCCCACTCACCGCTTCTCACTCAGTCGGGTTCCACTCGAGCAATGGCCTGACGTGCGATGTCACCAACCGGCCTCCTCAACGAGTGTCCAATGCGTCTCCACTTTCTCCTGCATATTTGTTGGTTGGCGATTGGTTCTTGCTTCGTTTGTTCCCAGCCATAGTTTCTTGTTTGTGATTCTCTCCGGCCCGGCCATCTGATCTTCAGTATAGATCCAGCGAAGACAGTTGTTGGTTGATAAAGGTAGCGTCTGCAACAGGCTGTTGGAAATATTCTTTGTGACTCGCCCGCCAAGTTTCTGATCCGTATAGAAGAACTGACTGACTTGACGTTTGTTTTGAAAATCCAACCGAACTTTGTTGTTGATAGTGGCTGAGTGACGAGGATTTCCAGATTGGTTTTAGGTTGAAGAATATGTTTCTCGCTCGTCTTTCCGATTCTCGCTCGATTTGACATCCTCGTCCGTTCCGACTGCCTGTAGTTGAGACAATGCTCCCTAGATAAGTGAATGAAGTAACCTCTTTCAAATCCTTCCCGTTGATGGTGATTAACTGACTTGTATACTGACAGTCCAAATCAGGTTACTGTTTAGACCCAGTTTTACCTACTAAGGCTCGAACACCTACGGTCACCACTAGTAGACTGAAGTGTGAAGTAGAACTTGGTTTCAAAGCTGATTTACTAGCATTTCTATTGTCATTATTTTATCGTTAATACAAATGCACATGTAGGCATAAAAAAAGAAAAGCATAACTAGACATTTCAGTGCTTTACTTAAAATGGCCATTTATCAGGTAGGTAGTAGAGAATAACGATACATTTTACAATACTTTCTACAAAACCATGTGTATATCATACCTTCATATAATATACAATACACTCACTCAAAGGTTGATGCATCAATAACAATACAATATAATACAATGCCACATTCCTATAAGATTCATATCTCTCTCATAGACAAATATATACATACTATATAAAGCTAGATATTATCACATTATTATAAATTATTATTATTATAAACTATACAAAGACGAATGGTATCACATCACTATTATGTTAAAGAATTAGTTGAAATATAAAAATGACAGGTTTTAATGCTTTCTTTGCTTATGAAGTGACACAGAATAGATATTACTGAATTCAACATACTTATGCCATCATTACAACCTACTGGTATTGTGGTGAGAGCTGTCTGCTAGCCGAATTGGTAGACAGTAATTCACATCAATGTTTATGTCCCCAATATTGGTCATGAGAAAAGAACACGAACAAAGACTGACTCAAAAACCAGTCACAGCAGACGTTGCGTAGGCGGATACAGCTAGCATATAGATGATCTAACATTCAAGAAACAGTCACAGAGATGCTAGGTTAACTTTCTGTGAGAAAAAACCAATCAGAAGACTGTGTTTTCTGCTTACAATAATCTATAATATGTACATGAAAATCTATAAATAGGTGCTGATTTCCTTAGTAAACGATCTGTTTCCTGGCCCTTGTCTTCTGTTGTTACAGTATAACCTTAATCTACGCTTGTTTTTGAATTGCGGCAACTTCAATTGAAGCACATCTAGGCAGAGTTCTACCCTTATTTTATAATTGGTCAATGAGAGATAACAGAAAATAAAGATCTAGAAATAAACTAGTACACTTGATTTACTCGCAATTTTATTCAATTATTTTTTTTATAAGGATTAGTGCAGAAATATCCAAAAACACATTGTGTTTTCCTAAAACTCTACACTCTAGAGTGAAAAGGATACTTTGATAGTTGATAAAATCAATCTCACCTGCAAGTCAGTAGAATGTCGACGACGTCCAACAACTAACAGTGAACCATTTTCACCAAACCAAACAGAAAACACTTCAGTCCAAAGTCCATGTAGTGCAGTTGGATTTTGTATAGCAGAAGAATGTGAATCCCTATGAGATGAAGTACCTGAACTAATAGGCCAAACAGGACCAGTTGGAGTTGGTGTACTAGGAGGCGGTAAAAATGCTGTACCAACATCCCAACGTTTAATAACACCATCAACAGATGCAGTAAGCAGTCCTATTGGTAAACAATTTCTTCTGTTTGTAATATAATCAAAATATATATCACTGGCGGAGGTATTGTATTCATCTGGAAGTAAACGTATAGCCGTAACCCAAGAAGCATGCACACTCAATTCTACCAACTTAAAGCCATCGCGAATACGCCAAATCTACAAGAGATATATAACAATAATTCAGACATTAATGTTGCACGAATACATTTCAACATACGAATTTAAGACAATCATGAGTAGAAACACTTACAAGAACTCTTCCACTAGCTGTTCCACCAGCTAATATGCATTGCCCTTCAATAATACGTGCATCCATGGATAATACTGTTGACGCGCAAGAACATGATAAATGCAAACGAGGTAAACTATTACTAGCCAGCGTTTTCTTTTCCAAAATTTCTGATTCACAAATCTGATTTCCATTATCAGGTAGACACCAAACCTAGATGAGAAAATAAGTAAGTATTCATGCAAAAGCTCAAGGATTCAAACAAAAACGTGAGAGAAAAAATTATTTTCATTCAGCATCTATCGATTCGTATATTCATTTATATGGAAACCTTATACAGAAATCTTTAAGGTAGTAAAAACAGGCAAAAATACAAGAAGAAAATCGAAAATCAACAGGTTATATTGTAGCTAAGTGAATACGTTTATGTTCGGAACGCTTCTATAAAACAGTTGGGATGTAATGAAAGAGAAGAGGGGCAACGTAATTAGTTAATAGTTTCTATGGTAACGATTTTAACCTCTGCTTTCTTCTAAGACATATTTTTTCCTAGAGAGATGAGTTTAATTGGAATGGACTCACTGATTAACTAACGTAAGACTTGCACAGGATTTCAACATTTCAAAAGTTGATACACTTGGAAATATGAGTATTCTAAGTGTATCTGACTAGCTTATGCGGATTAAGTAGATAAATCAAACACTAAACAGCTATATCTACTGAGAGATAAGAGAAGCAAATGGATAAAACTATGTATACGAAATACTAAGAGTGTCACAGACAACCAAAAACGCTAATAGATTTACTTATCAGAACTAAGTAATTGAAACGGGCTGATTCACGAAAACTAGACACACCTAAACAACAAACGATGCATTTAACTAATCCACAAGCTAAATATTTCACAAATTGTCAACTGCTTAGTGTCTAGTACAATTAAAATGTACGTACATATCACAAAACAGTTGGGAGTGGAAAACCTTTCCACCACCACATTCATCTTTCTCACGGAGGTCAAACAAAAACATGGCACCAGTCAATGAAATATACAACAGTTAGTCTAAGTCACGTAGGAAGGTGTCGACTTCCTGGTTGAGGTCCTTGGGTTGGAAACAATTGGTGATATGGCTCAAAATCGTTCTCAGTGGCTGGCGCAGATGCATCCACTCCTTGTGACTTACGATTTCCAAGGAAACTATATTGTTCTTCGTTATTACTCTTCCTTTGTCTCACACCTCTGTTTACTGTCTCTATTATGCATTTGTTCGACTTTCTTCTTTTACTTTGTGTGTTACATGGAGTGTGGCGACTTGAACTGCCGCACAGCAGTGCAAAGTTCCATGTCGAAAACAGACAGAGAGATAGACAGATTCATCTTTCTGACTGTATAAGCACATTTGCATTTAACGTTTCAAAAAGTGGAATGGCATATTATTGTGTTGTCTGCATAACGTATATAAAAGGTGTTAAAATACAGTATACAGCTTTCAAACTTACAAACACTTATCTTCGAGTGGTACAAAAATCCTAGTTAAACAACGCGATAACATATGCTATACAGAGTGTAGACTGTAAGCAGAACAGATTAGTAACTCAAAAGAAAAAGTATACACCATAATGCACTCACCATCACTTGAGTAGACAAAGATGCAGCAAAAAATACAGGTACTTTATCTGTTTCAATCGGATTGTCAGTATTTATGAAAGGCGGTAAAAATATTGCACATGATGCAGCCGGTCCAACTCCAAGAATTAACAATTCAGGATCACATAACTAATTGACAGATAAAAGGATAAGTATTAATATATATATATATATATATATATATATGGCTGTTTAAAAATAAGTATGGATTCTGGTATTAGAATGTTTCAACCAACAAACAAGACTCAAATGCCCCTTTCAAATTGTCGTGCCTTGATGACTGACACTGGTTATCTGATGTTATCTTGTTAGCCCACTACTAAATCGTCAGTTGTGTGACGAAAATAATACCAAACGAATAGTCCCCTGTTATTAATTCATACAATCAATACTGCGTTCGTTACAGTGACTTGCCAAAATTACGAACGATGATTATAAACATCATATGTTAAATTACATAATGATCACCGACATATCGCCAAATCACCAGGGTGATAGATTGTTATGTGAAGAGACATACAGTCAGATATAAGGAACAAGCAACGACTGTAACAGTTTACTGGTGGTTAAAGTTGGCAACTTCCAAGATGAATGACACAATATGAACCTCAAAATAAATATGTGCTTCCCCAGGGTTGTAAATATACTTTGCTGGCGAACGCCAAAAAGAAGCAATAAGTTTTGGCTTCTATTCAATTAATTCCTGGAATCTAACCTAAAAATGAAACAGCTTTACAGAGCATAAAAGTGCCATGTCACTTGTGATCCAAATATATGATCCAAAAGTACATCATTTAAAGATATTAAGAGAGTAAATTAAAATAGAGAGTAATGATAAATTTTGTAGATGAAACTCACGAATCAACAACACTCTTACCTGAGATTCCAAATTATCGTCGAAGATATCAACTGAAAATCTTTGCGACCAGAATTTAGTAACAAAGTCACCAGCTAATTTAGTGGATATGCACGAAGTCCAGCATATTTCATCTAGATTGTACACCCAGATAAAACCATCAGATAAACAAACAGCAATAAGATTTCCATCTTGTGAAATAGTAGTGATATGCACTTTAGGATTAGAATCAGTCAACAGCTGTGAATACCAATGCTCAGACGATAGATGCGGAAGTCTTAACTCCCGTGAACAATCAAGACGCAACTTTCCACCACCTCCACGTTTTAAATGATAAACACTTGGCAGCTTTGGGGTTTTCTTTAAACATGCTGTTGAATTGACACCATCCGCACGATGAGATACAGAGTCAAGGCAACCTTCACCAGCCATAACCAAAAGATCTACAGTGGGATTAGCAGCTATACACTGAAGTTGATAGGTGGAATCAAGAGTTTCATTGGGCTACAAAAGTTAGTAAACACAAAGCCTTTAATTACTGAACTCATTGCAGTAAAACAAATATTCGTTAACATCTTTAAGAATGTATCAGTAATAAAAAAAAATAATGTGACTTAATTACTTGTAGAAGGTTTCTTTCGTACTCACATAAAGTGTGTATCAGTTTATGATGATAACTGATTGTTCATTTCAAAAAATTTAGGTATTTTCAACCTTGGACCTGATGATTCAAGGCCAATCAATCACAGAAGATCATGAGCTAAAGCCAGCCAACATGTAAAGAAACATCTTTTTCTAAACAACAAAGACCAATCAACACTGAATCTGATTGTAACATGCGGAGATCAATGACAAAACTCTACTTTAACAAGCTACATCAGACCTTGTATTTTCATTACGAATTCATTACCTCAAAAGAAATAAACAGGTTAAAACAACTTCCATAAAAATCAATATCACAAGCGTGTTTTCAAACCCCCATAAGTCATTGACAGGTATGTGCAGTGGCACTTCGCGAATTATTTTGTCTGTTGCTATGTTCAACACACCCCGAGGCCGTATCTGCTAATCTCATTACGAAGTATTTGAGCCTTTAAAAGTGTTTCTGATGTAAAACGTGGATGTTAGAATTTTTAGTTGCTTCTTTAATTTCTTTCTTCTGCTTTCAGATTTACTGATATAAAGAATAGGATTTGAATACTGTGGTAGAGGAAAACTCAGCAATCGCAAAGGATGCATCCACACACAATAGGGTGAAACAGAGTTACCATTCCAAAAAGTAATATAGGTGGATAGGGAGTTTGATTATTGATTCTTTATCGAATCTACAGCTAATATGTGCAATAGGAATGACAACGCAATGACAATATTACTGCCAATAAAATTAAAGGATAAGAAATAATGATAGCATATAAAGGTTTGAAGATTGTGTGACAGTCTTGATACTATGAGCAATAAATTGCACTCAAAATGTTATCAGTAAATAATACAATGTCACTGTTAACTTTTATCAAATAAATCTACTCTACGACGGAACTTTAAATTAACGTCGGCATGTGACCTTTTGCAATGATCTACTGATTAGCTAATATTTGTGAATAAAACGCCAAAATTGGAATAGATATAATTCTGGAAATTGATAATAAGAAGTATGCACCGGCATGTAATTCTCTCTTGTGCGTTAGTGGAATAGCGGTTAGGACTCTCGCCGACCATCCACATGATCCCGCGTTCGATCCCCGGCCGGCGCACTCCTTTACCTCACTAAGCCTGAAATAATGCTGGTAAAGAGGAAGGGTTGGGCATGAGGCTAGGCAACCCCATCTTGTAAATAAAACACTGCTACAGAAACTTCAAGCCAATAGCTTGAGGCCCTACTTTCCACTGGGGAAGGTGAAGGGAAAAAATGCACCGGCCTAAAACTAACAAACTCTGGTTGTGTTAGTCGAAGGAGACTCTAATAGGAGAAGCTACTGATCATGTCATTTCCCAAAATGTTTCAGTCATTAAAAATGGCAGTATGGGACATTTGCAATTCTAATACGACAAAGCGGCTGTCGAAAACAAGAATACAGTCGAGAAGATGGAATAGACGCTAGAAATTGACATTCTATTGCTGCATATTAACATGCCCAGGGAGTCACCATGCACCAGTCTAAGAGCATAAGGACGGATAGGAGAGGAATTCCTAAGGCATTATTCCAAGCATGACAGCAGATGAAAAGCGATTAGACAATGGCCATATATATATATATATATATATATATATATATATATATACTGTTGATGATATAAAGATACCTCAACTTATATAAATAAAAAGTGGAAGAAGGGTAAAGAAAGCCAATGAAAAGTCAACTATTGACAAAAACAAACGTGCATAAAGTGTCTACAGTTGTGTACAGGAGATATAAAGATGCCAGTTGCATACCCAATTCGATAATGAAACATCTGGAAAAGTCAGACAACGCTAAATCACCTAAATATGATGTTTATAACCTCAACCTAGAGAGATCAGAATTCAGAAATCTTTGGCTGGAAATTACAAACATATTTCTCTTAAGAAATCTGTGAAACTGAAGTTAGAAGTGAGATTCATTTCTGCAGTTTTGTTTAGATGGTTCTAGAGGAAAAAGTCAAGCCTTTCCTTGGAAAGGAATATAATGTTAAGGGTAATTACACCCAAACAGACATTAGGGCACGCAGTGAGACGAAAGTTCGCATCATCCTTTACTACAGGATGAATAACAACATAAACTAATAACCTAAGTCCATTCGCCAGCGTAAATAATATATTTTTATGCCATCTAAAACAAAAGACAAACAAGATATTACGACAAACTGAAGTAAACAACTCCTATCTGCTCAAAATTAGGGAAACACACAGGTTAATATTCCACAGTAAAAGATGTAAATGCTTTCTATTAGGACGGACAACCTATCGTCGTTAGCTCTGAAGTCATGACTGGCGCATACATCAACATGGTAACCCTATTGGACAGTTTTTGATCGGTTAATTTTTGACTTGAATTTCCGAAAGTTTGAAAGGCCGTATAGCCAATCAGGTTTGTTTATTTATCCATAACTGCTTCTGGAATTTTCGGAACTAATATATACCCTATATTTTTAGTAACAAAAGAAAGTCACTGCTGTCGCAGTTAAATCTGACTTTTGTTTCTCGATTGTGGGGAATATCTTCAATTGATTAGTTGGTTACAGCCTGATGTCTGGAGGAGTATTCTAGTCAGGTTAGACAGTCACAAATCAATAACCCGCCTATTTAATACTTTTTTGTACTTTCAACCACCACCACCAACCTTGACATTCAGTAGCTTCCAAAGAAATAAGAAAGAAACTAGAGCCGTACAAAGTACAGCATACATGCTTGAGTAAATGTTACCATTTTTAAGAAAATCTCTACCCCCCTGCATGATACAAACATATTAAAGTGTATTAAAAATCCTTCTTTATCAGTGGTCAGAAACATAATAGTCCCTTACATCTTTTCAGTCTGTCTGTCTGTCTGGATTCAACATAGAACTTGCCACCGAAGTGCAGCACTTCGAGTTACCACCTTCCAAATAGCACACAGAGGTAGACAAGAAGATGAATGAAGAGAATCAATAGTTTGACAAGTATAAGAGTGAAACACAATGGGTAATGGTAGAAAGGGATATGAAAGATTACAGAGACTGAATACATCTGCGCCACTGACAACGATTTTGAACCATGTCACCTATTGTCTCCAGCCATTGATTCCTAGAGTCCCGAGGGCCCCAACCCGGAAGTCTGCATCTTCCTACCTGACTCAGTTCAACTGTCAAGGCTTTCATGGATTGATGCCATGTTTTTGTTTGGCCACCACTTACTCTTTTTCAACCTGCACCAATTCTCATATAATTGGCAGGAATGAAATTTTGACACATCAACATGCAATAAAGCCACAAACATTCAAACCATGATATGGTATGACTGCAGTCTACGTAAATATTTAGAAAATAAATACCAGAATATGCCGAAAATCGAGTTTCAATTTGCTTAAACATACAATTCAAGTGAAACATTATTAAATAAACGACTAACCTGAGAAATGATACATGATGGGATATTTTGTGCGCCATCAACTCGAGCGATTTCAGTAAGTTGAGGTAATTCAGCCAGCACAGTTGGTTTGAAAACATCAAATGGTGGTGAACCATATACTGGTGAAGAAATATCTGAATGTTTTTGACGTCTTATTGTTCCCGATGCAGATATTTCAGAATCATCAGAATCTAAGTGTAAATTGACGCCTTCACCTATCGGATGACGGCCATTTTTCTTTGAATCAGTCAACCCATAGATGCTGATTTCGTCATCATCATTCCCCTTAGCATCCAAGTCACAACTTCCTCTATGGTGCAAATAATAATCATTTGGTAGTTTATCAACTTCCTCATCAGAAATTGTTTCATCAAGTGGATAAAAGTCCTCAGCAGGAATTTCTTCAGCAACGGGAAGTGTAGAAATTCTCAATACAGCAATTAAGAAAATCAAAAGAAGATATATGTTATCGACCTTAAAAAACTGTAAGGTATTAAATTACGTGAGTCATATATAGCTGCGAAAATAACTACATTCAGGAGGACGAAAGTTAAAAGGAGTAATCAGGAATATTTACGATGGAGGTGAGGAGTTGTTAGCTAAAAGGGTTAACATATTAACTGATCATTATCACGAGGGGGAGAGAGGTTGAAAGGCCTCCAATATTAAACCACCACTATCTTCGGAAACCTCGATTAGTAGGCTAGCCGGTCACAAGCCCGGGAAAAGAGGGAGGAATGGGAGAAGGGTCAGACACCCTACATCGGAAGATCAATTCAATCGCTACCGAAACTTCAAAGTATAAGGGAAACATAAAAAACAAACATATTTTCCGCTGGGATGAGAGGTAAAATGACACAGCAGTGGGAACTTCTGTGGAAGAACATTGGGACTCTCTGAAGGTGATGTTCAAGGAAACGTGCACAACTGTTCTAGGAAAAAAGAAGATACAAAACAAAGAGTGACTTTCAACGGATACCTGGAAACTAACAGTATGGTGAAGCAGAAGATGAACCAAAGAAAAGAAGGTCAAGAGAGGGAGAAGCTGAGTTCAGTGTTCACCGCACTGAATGAAGAAGTGAAGGAAAGTGACAGGAAAGACAAAAGACAATTCTATGACACACTGAACGGCAACTGAAGGAGAACAGGCTGCAAGTAAAACAGACCCCAGGACGTTATATCAGATAAAAAGGTCACTATCCGGGAAGAAATCAACCCAGATGATGAAACCAATAAAAGATGCCCAAGGGAACCTGATTATCAAGGAGGAGAAATAAATAAAACAATGCGCTCTTGAATCGACCATCACCTACAACTCGTTCAGAAATACCACCAGCAGAACTCATTCAAACAGCCAGTGGACATCAACCCTCAAAATAAAGCAGAAATGTTCATTGTATCCAAGCTACTGAAGTCTAGGGAGGCAGCAAGAACAAATTGCATCTCTACGCATCATCATCCAATAAAGCAGATGATGGCAGTCAGAACTCTACCTCAATTTCGCCGACTTCGAAAAGGCCTTAGACAGACCGCCTTTACGGGGAAGTAGCTTGGAAACCACTTCAACCCTACGGCGTGCCTCAAGTCTTTATCAATTTCTTTCAACAGCTATATGACAATGTCACATGTCAGCTGATCCACAACGGAAAAATCAGCGAAGCCTTTGAAGTAAACACAGGAGTAAGAAAAGGCTGTCTATCGTCACCGATGATATTCCTAATTGTGGTGAACTGAATTATACGGCACACTGTACGTGAAGAGCGAAGAGACACCTATATGCTGGACAGACAAGGAGACTCCAGAAGATCTGAATTTCGCGGACGACTCCACCAACTCGAAGACCTATAAGCGAGAGCGAACGAACTAGCAGAAGAAGCAGCAAAGAAAGGAATTGAAGTAAACATAGAGGTAGTAAGAATAACCAACAAATAACAACAACCAGCACCCGTCACTGTCAACAGAATAAATTTGAGAGAAGTCGCTTCCTTCACCTACCTAGGCGGCAGTGTTTGAACTACAGACGGAAGGCATGAAGATGTCAAAACCGGAACCGGAAAGGCAAGACGGAAGTCTTCTGTACTCAGCAAAAAGAACAAGATTCAGATTTACAACACCAATGTTAAGTCAGTCAGCTCTTCTATATGGGTCAGAAACTTGGCACCCATGTCACGAAAAACATTTCTAACAGACCACCACTGCAGATTTTTATCAACAAGTGCCTTTATTATTATTATTATTATTGTATCCTTTAGTTCCTAGAGGAACATAGGGCTTCAGCTGCGCACCTCCATTGCCTTCGGTTTTCTGACAACTTTTTCACCCTGCTCCAGGTATGTCCACATGCTTTCATCTCCTCCTCGCATGACCTCCTCCAAGTCACCCTTGGACGACCCACTCGCCGCCTCCCTTTCGGGTTCCACTCGAGGGCTTGTCTAGTGATGTCACTTGATGGTTTCCTCAGCGTATGGCCAATCCATCTCCATTTCTTTCTGCCTATTTGTTTCACAATCGGTTCCTTTAATAGCTCCATAATTAAGATCAGATGGCTGGCCGGAAGGAATTCATAACGAGAAACTACGGGAACAAACTAACGAAGAACCTATCGCTCAACAAATATATAGGAGAAAAAGGATATGGATTGGGTACACACCGAGGAGACCGTCGAGTGACATCTCTACCCAGGCCCTCGAGAGGAATCCGAATGGGAAACGACGAGTAAAGAGTCTGAGGGTGACATGGAGATCGTGAGATGAGGCGATCAGACACTATAGGCAGTTGTCGAGGCAGCTAAAGACGATCGCAGGAAATGGAACAAGATGGAGATGTGCTGTTGAAGTTCTATGTTCCACTCGGAAGTCAAGGGAGCAATAATAAATAAATAAATAATAAGGATGTCTTCGGAGCATCTAGCTAGCGAAGTAAAGGTGATAAATACATAACGCAAAAGTTAGGCACTAAACGTTACATTAGGTAGATACGACAGTTGATAAGGTTACGAACTTTACGGCATCAAAGTGATTGGAACATGCATTATGTATGATCGCCTACTGTAAATTGCTTTTATTTTGATGTAGTTATGTTCTCTCCATCTGAGCTACAAATCTTCTCCACAATATTGATGTTATTTTTAAACATATTTTCGCTTCAGGTTTAAGCTCTCTAACCAAAAACATTTCTTGACTATTTACTTTCATTAGAACTTAAGTGTTATTGATTTTACTTTTTGCTGATTCTTTGTATAATGCTGACTATTCATAACTAAAAACAAGTCAAAAAATAAGATGAAACTTATTCCCCCCCCCCACGCCCTACCCTAATGAAGCTTCTAATTGCACAGGCAAACTCCTGTCAGTCTAAGAATCCACATACACACAGTTATAATGCGTATGAGATAATTGTTCTCATTACTAACACTTTCACCCATCGCATAAAATGTATATCGAAAGAAGGTATCGTTGAGTTTTGTACCTATTCGTGCAAGTATAAAGTCTTTTATAATCTATACACTTTACTTACACTACACTTCCATTAGATCCACAAGTTAGACATTCTGTATTATTTGATAAAAAATTTAAGAACTTCACTTCCGTATCAGGTGGATATACCTAGAAAAGAAAGGAGATACAAAACAGTAATAGGGAGAGAGAGGAACAAAATAGAAAAAAAGAAGTGGCGAAGAACGCCTATTTACATGAGAAAAATTGTATCACTAACTTAGGTGATGATGATGAGGCAAGGAAATCTAATCAAAGAAAATGCACGCTAACAAAAAGTAGTTTCCCTTAAAACATATACCCATGATAATTCCTTTTTTTACATACACAAGCATTTAATCTTTTCATACTATAGAAACAGCATTCACAAAAACTCTATAGACATAGAGGTAAACATAAGGTAAAGGAACATAAGTGATCCACGCCTGGTAAAACAGAGGCACTTTTATTCTTTGGTGAAAAGTTATCAAAGGATTTAGAGATGTTTGCTTATGAAACGCTAAACTGTCTATTTCAGACATGCAAGGAACTGTAGGATTTCTAATTCAGTTTTGTAAACAAAATGACTGAATACGATGGTTGACGATCTTTGACTCGTTCTCGTTCTTCATTCCCATTTGTAGTAAAGGTACTAAAATTTCCCAGACGTCTGGGACAGGTGTCGAATCATTCCTGTTGCTTGTTTTCTCAGTTGATTCGATGAATAAAGCCTCAATAATCAATTTGCCCCTTCACCCAGTTAGATCAAGACTGTCATGACTGTATAGTTACGCGCGAGCTTCTTCACAGATTTTTCACCTTATTGAGATCTACTAGTTTAGATTTCTCCAGATTTTGTGGTCCGATATTCTACTTGACTCCGCCATACCACTTCAGCCTAGAATGTTTGACCTCACAATCACGATGGATCCTTTAACCAACACATAATTTCTTTTCAAGTGAGTTTGCTGACTCGAATGCTATTTTTATTCCTGCCTTGTTAAGAACCCCACTCGAGGTTGCAGAGATTCCTTCTTTGTGTGACAATACAATTGATTATGTAAATCCCCTATCCCTAGTGTTGCTTTCTTTCTGTGTATATTGTTCTTATTATTATTATCATTATAGGAAATTAGAAGATAAAAATACTATTTTCACTTTTACCTTTTCTTTTGTTTGCTTTCCATATTCAGCAAGTGTTGGTTTGCAGGGATTTGAATGGTTACAAGTTAACACAAAATCCTGTTCTATATTTAGGCCCATCTAGAGTGTAGCACGTCAAAACGACACAAATCTTTCTGTTATCCAACCTTTCTCTGTGTTCATTTATTAAACCATGCGGAAAAGTTAAAGCACTACACTACTATTGCACAAATTATTCATCTCCTATGGCTGATCACATTACCCACCTTCAATCCAGCTCTTACCGATTGGTGCACCAAGTAAATTAGTATATTTCATACATTCGGTTCCCTTGATAAATTTCGATAGAGAAAGAAAGAACAGATTTGCAGTATAAAATGATATCATCATTCTATTTCACAGGTTCTCATCATCAACTGCAAACTACTTGAAATTACAACGGTTATCAATAAGGACAATAACATACTCCATGTTTGAATAGCAGTACGGGAAACATCATAAAGTCAACGCATCCGAAATCTAAGCATTACAATTTTTGGCTTAGGTTATCCTCAGTTTATATGCTTACGAGGCAGGAATGTAGGAAGAGGGAGAGAAGACAGAAAACAGAAAAATCTATTAAACAGTGTAAGTATGTAGGTCTACACAGTAACTGAAGAAGGTTGTAGTTCATGAAATTAAGAACTTGCTCAGTGAGTTGAAATCACCAAATTTGATGACTAATCGATAGAATCACTACCTTGGTAGCTGCATTTTGATTAGATTGAGGATAACTTAAGACAAAAATTGTAATACTTAGATTTCGGATGCGTTGACTTTATGATGTTTCCCTAACTACTATTCAAACATGGAGTATGTTATTGTCCTTATTGATAACCATTGTAATTTCAATTAGTTTGCAGTTGATGATGAGAACCTGTGAACTAGAATGATGATATCATTTTATACTGCAAATCTGTTCTTTCTATTGAAATAAGTATATCAATTGCAACTTCAATGTGTACATTTCGATTCCCCGACAATTTCAGTAGATAATCATTACATCAACGCAAAAAGCAGTAAGTAACGATAAGTAGATATTGATCAACAAAACGCTTACTCTGAAACATTTCTGTTTCGACTTACGATAAAGCCTACAGATAGTCTTTTGATGTTACGTAAAAAGTTAAGTTAAGCGCTCCAGGGACAATGTCTACATTTGTCATTGCATTGATAAAACTCTTGTGATCTACACACAAAAGTTATTAGCTGAAATATAAGAATCATTACAAGCCTAATTCCAGCTATGTACCCAAATTCTGTACAACTAGCATAAAATATCTATCGTATTATTATCTATGTCTTTTGGCACAGGAAATGGGAATGAACGGTCACGTACTTTCTAACATTAAAATTATCCTTGTTTATATGCCTTTATTTAGAAAATGATACTGTACTACCAAGTATATGCAACATACTGGTGTCCCTGAGATTCTATCGATATAATCTTGGCGATCCATCAGGTCAACACCTACACCGTTGTCAAAGCAGCATATCTTAAGCCTGATCACATTTGAATTCCGAATTCATGAAGACCGGTTTTCTTTGAGAATGAGTTAGTGACCAGTTTGAATTGCTTATCTCTCGTATTTTTGTCAATAAATCGGCTCGGGTAACCGTTTTCTACAAGCGTGGCTTTTAAGAAGGAAAATCCTGGGTCACCACGGTCAGAACTACAAAATGTTTCTTATCCTAAAGTAGAGTATTTAATATTATTTTTATTTGATGTATTCACCTTTGTTTAGATTCCACGGGATATAATTTCTTAAAAAACCATATAGATACGATTGTACAGGTTGATACTAAATTCTTAGAAAAGAGTCTCTTCGCTGAATATTGGGTTCTTACTATTACAATGGGAGCTATTAAATTATTGAAAAAATTCTGGAAAGCGCTTAGGAGCAACCGTATTTATCCGAATTCCCAAAACTTAAAAGCGCCATACACTTAGCCGTATTAAAGCAATCAATTCTCCAGTTATGGAACTAAAAAGGAACATACTTGTGAGAAGTCATGTTCTGCTTGAATTTTCAACTGATGAACCCCAACAATTTGAGGAATGTATTTCTCTTTTTATCAAAAATAGTCCTAGTCTGTCAGTCCCAGACATCTTGACAGCCTCAAGCAGGTAGCAGCAAAAAGGAGATTTCCGACTGATCCCAACAGATATGTTTAATTATTTTTCTGTCACTCATTCGGAAACTCAACTACAAGCTCTGTGTGTGTGTTCAAAGTCAACAGGTTGCACACTCAAGTGCAATTCGAAAACCTAATCAGCCAGATTAACGACCTCATGACCGCATCACTTCAGGAATTCTAACAATTGAAATCCACATTTCTTAAATCCTACCAAAAGTTAACTAATTCAAACACTACCTCGAATAAACTTCTCAACAGAGTAAATGCACCAACTTAAAGGAAAATCATATTATCATAGGCGTCTTTGACAAAGGTGGTGTTGTTTTGATGAAACGCCAATATTTCTATCACCAAATTATGCTTGTTGAGTGCAAACTGGTCATTATAATTTAGCTGAGAAGTAGATAATTTCCAGAACTTTTGTAATAACTTTTGCAATACAACTACAGTGAGAATATTAATACTCAAGACCAGGAGTACATTCAGTTGAAAAATCCAAACAAACTGTACCACATGCCTTTACATCCTGAAGACAGCAAAATAGGAGTGTCCTTAGGTTTATTAACTATTTGTTATTAATTTATTAATTTGTTGTTTTCATACAACTAGTGCTTTATAAGACAATTAGTTAAAGGAAACGATACTTCACAACTTTCATAACCTTAATATGCAGAGTAAGCTTTAGATAAATGGATGAACTGAAAAAAAAACTAGATTTAACTACAAAAGGAGATATATAAAAATATTCCCAAATTTAAAAACAAGTATACAAACTAGTTTACTGACTTGATGTAATGCGACTTCATATCCAGAGTTGGCATCCAAAAGAAGCACTCGACCATCACTAGTCGATGCTAGATATCTTTTTCGATAACGAGTATTCAAATATAAGTAATTTAAACCATCACGTGAATCCTCAGAATTTTCCACTTTTGAAGTGTTTGTTAACTTTTCCGTTCCAGTGGAATAAGGTAATTCTACGGCTAAACAAGTAACACCTTGAGATCCAGTTGGAATAGCCCATAGCAGTTGTGAAGCAGCAATATGACTATTACTGTATAAAGAAAGAGAATAAATACAATGGTAAATTGTTGCTAATTATGCCTAAAATGATGACAAATATCAAATACTATTTTAGAATTGTTTTGATGTAAGGATTTATTGGTGAAATTCAAGAGGTTAACTACTTAGCATAGGTAAGACAGATGGGTTATCTCAATAAATCTAAAACTTATATAAACAAGACCGACTGACTGATTGACTGGTTTCAACGTAGGACTTTGCACACATAGGCAGTAGTTCGAGCTGCCACTCTCTCTCTCCATGTAGCACACAAAGTAAGAGAAGACAGTAAAGAGAGATTCAAAAGAGAAAATAAAAACAAGTGATTCAGCGAAGAGACTCTTTTCAACGAATTTATCATCAAGCTGTACAGTCGTATATATATGGTTTTTAAGAAGTTATATCCGGTGAGGGAATTGAATATTAGGTGTGAATGCATGAAATAATAAGAAGAAGAAATGCATTTAAAACTAAAATGTTTGTGATTATTAATTGCATTTCATATTATTATTATTATTTTATGCATTCACACCTAAGATTCAATTCCCTCACCGGATATAACTCCTTGAAAAAACCATATATATACGACTGTACAGCTTGATGATAAATTCGTTGAAAAGAGTCTCTTCGCTGAATCCCTTGTTTTGATTTTCTATATGTTACAATGGGAATTTTCCATGGGATTCAAAAGAGAGACAATAAACAGAAATGTCAGGCAAAAAGAACTGTAATATGGAAGAACAATAGAATTTAATTAAAATATCATAAATCACAAGGAGTGGACGTATCTGCGATGCATTACCGATTGTCTCCAGCCATTGGTTTTCATCATTCCGCGAGGCCCAAGCAGGAAGTCTACACCTTCCTATCTAAACAAGTCTCGACATGTAGTGAGAGAGATGCACACCAATCCTCGTTGTTTATTTTCTTTTGTAAACAGGGGAATTAAAATGATTCACTACATGTTCTATTAACAAATAACTGATAAATGGAAGAAATTTGCTTCAACCAAAACTGGAAAGTACAACAATGGACGTATTAAGTTCCTAACGATGTTACCTATCTGCAGCAACCATTGTACATTCTTGAGTTTTGAACCTATAACTCTGATCACTACAATCAGATATATCACGAAATCACGAAAGTGTATAAGTTAATCCAATAATTTAGAGGTTTAAAAACGGAGGATGAAGACAGACAAACTACAGCATATATGAATTACAATTTCTATGACTCGATAAATGCTTTACTATCACTGGTATCTGAACGTTATGACTGCATTATTCTGATAAACCAATCCCGTAATGAAACTCACTTCTGCTCGTTTGTAAGCAGTGCAACTACTGGCCATCCAAATACAAAAGTTTATACTAATATTGGTACATTTATTTACTTTTTATCTGTTAAGGAATACAGCAACTGAAATGAATGAACTTCTAATGTTTTTCTGTTTATTCGTCTCATAACTTCAATTGGAATCAGTTCAGAAACGACCAGCAGTACATAACATCTGATTCGCTTCAACCACATACAAAACCCGAGAGAAACATACTGAATAATTATGCTTTAATTTCAAATAACTAAAACAATTTCCTGATGGGCAGAGGAGCTTTTCTACAGTAACCCCACGAGAAATGCCGCAAAGTATATGAGCCTTTGGTGCGGCGCTATGATTCGTTATTACAGGTAATCAGATTTTAATTTTGATTAGTGAGTTAGGAACTCAGATTGACTGTTGGAATTTAGACTGACAGGCAAGTATCAGTTGTTTAACACGTATCCATAAGCAATTTCGGAAGGCATTGTTTCTAACGTACTTTTTCTGTAAACATTTTATCCAACCATAGCACGCAGAAAAAACAATACACCAGTAAACCTTTTATTTATCAGTTCTATATAAGTAAAGTGAAAAGCGATTAGATTTATTCTAGATATCATATATTCTGATTGGTAAGTTACTAATGCCTTAGATTCTTGGAACACCAATCACCTGCCTGTCTGGATTCAACATAGAACTTGCCACCGAAGTGCAGCACTTCGAGTTACCACGTTCCACACACAAAGCACACAAAGGTAGACAAGAAGATGAATGAAGAGAATCAATAGTTTGACAAGTATAAGAGTGAAACACAATGGGTAATGGTAGAAAGGGATATGAAAGATTACAGAGACTGAATACATCTGCGCCACTGACAACGATTTTGAACCATGTCACCTATTGTCTCCAGCCATTGATTCCTAGAGTCCCGAGGGCCCCAACCCGGAAGTCTGCATCTTCCTACCTGACTCAGTTCAACTGTCAAGGATTTCACGGATTGATGTCATGCTTTTGTTTGGCCACCACTTACTCTTTTCCAACCTGCACCTATATCAGCTAGTAATGCCCGTCTCTTTGTATGCGGAGATTATGTTGGCATCTTTTGAGAACTATGGTTTCTGCGAAACAAACTACCAGGGTTTTCTCTGTGTATTGGTTATTTTGAAGGCTTGACTGATTGTGATTGAGTTTCCCATTTCATCTGAGTGCTTAGTGGGAAAACAGAAAGATAATGTGATTGATCATTTACTACAGTGGTAACTAGACGTCTTCACTGTGTTTCTATGTCTTGCTTTAGTCAAAATCTTTCGTTTCTCATTACAATCCAAGGAGTTGAACTCATTTTTAGTCTTTCAAATTACTTATTTGTTTGTTTACGTAATCGTCCTACTTCTACTCACCACTAATCTCTACTTCCACCTTCTCCTTTCGAATGTTCCATCAAACTATGTACAAATATACTCTGGTTTTTAGATTATTAAGTACGTCTCCTATTCGTACCTCTTGTTCCACAACTATGTCTTTTGAGGTGAAATAATTTTTAGGCAAGTAATTGACTTCTGCATTTATAGTAACTTGTCGCTTTTCGGGCTGTTAGCAGCTGATAGGAGGCTGTGAAATAAAAAATGAGCTCGTTTCATTCTTCATTTATGTGCATTCTCTTTTTGTTTAAAATAATCAAGGGAAATGTTTAAGATGATTAGCCTAGAAACTTATATTTAGTAGGTTAGTTAAACTTGGACAGGTCATTCACATGAATGCAGAGTTGTGTAAATAATTTCCAACTGTCACATATATTTGTCATCAGGCACTATGTGTATGGAGGAATTTTCTGGTACTGGTCAACCTCCCGATCAATGCATATCCCTAGATATGTTTCTCTGTGATTAAAGCCAATAGGGTTCAAATTTTGTTTTACCTACTTCAACCCGGTCAACTGGATGATACTATCAGTCCTGAAAGCCTCATGTACATGAAAAATCTGTTTCGGATAAATGAGTTTTGGTTGAATGATCCACATTCTAAACAATCAAAGAAATTATTCTGATAGTTCTCAAAAAACTAAGCAAAACAACAATAATAACTACCTGATTTTTCAAACAATTACAAAATCAATTGTGAAAAATATTCTAGTCGTTTAAAATTGAGTAATCATGGAGAAAAGTACCAACTGTAAAATTTTACTGGAGTATAGTTGATATGATGCTTTATTTTACACTAAAGTAAGCTGATTGAGCACAAAGACTGGGTGATTAATTCAAATAGAAAAAGTGAACAAATAGTGTTCATATATGTTAGTGCATTATTAGTAGGTCAAATTACATAGGGATAAATTTATTACATGAACTTATTTATTTACACCAGGAACTTATAGAATAGACACACAAAAAAAACTGCCATGCATCACCTGATAGGAAGTTTGTGTTCTTATTGATCACACTGGTTTTTAAAAAAAACTTTGGATTTTTCGTTTGTATTCGACCGTATGGTGTTAACAACAGGTGAAAAATCCCGCATGACACGAAGAATACTTACTTTAAACGTATACACTACCATAATATGCAAGTCAAAAATACCAATGTCTTCTAACCTTGAAGAGTAGGAGAGATAGAGAGTTACTTCAAAATTAAAATAGATTAATTAATAAGTCGGTTGGTGAAACACATCATACAGGATGAAACTCTACATTCATGTCTGTCAAGCAGTACATTAGATAGCAGATTTCAAGCTGTATTCATTTATTCAACTCAGGTAAAATAAACGGATAAACTATGAACACAATTGACAACTTTACCTTACAAAAGAAATGTAGCGATAGCGCTAACTTACCACCAAAACCAATAATATTTAAATGCTCTGACAATTGACAGACTTTTAGCTGTTTCCTTAGAAGATTGACGCATTTTCAAGGCAGTTTGATAACGCTGAGTTAACAGTTGAATTGCTTGTTGAAACACAGGATTGTCTTGAGATAGACCAAGTCCCAATTGTAGTAAATCTATGCCTTTAGGTCCCGTAGGAGTAGTGGTGGTAGGAGTAGCAGTAGTATTAGTAGCAGAGATAGAATCAGAACGATTGAATACATTCATTGAATTGGTTTTTGTTTTGTGTGAAAAAGAACAACGTCGTGAATCCACAGGGCTTATACACCTGGAATCAGGTCTGAAGTTTGGAGGAGATAGATCTAAGTTAACGACAGAACCTCTGCGTGATCCTTGACAGGGTGATCTCGACCGATCACAATCTTGTACTACTGTTGGATCAATTATATAGTAGGCATTTGTTTGGATGAAACGAAGATAAGCCAGCCTGAAAAATTTTCGAAAAGGATTATGTACTTCTGACTGACAACAAATATAAATTTTTATAATTCAATCGACAAAACTAAACTTTTGAAAAGACTTACCTGTTTCATTTGGAAATGTAACGTTCTTTAGATTAGCCGATAATTATGAAAGGTAGATAAGTTTATTTGTTGTTTGTGCAAATCCACGAGAGTGTGCTTACCCTGACATCCTCAGAAAACTGTTTCTGTATAATACATAAGATGACTATGTATATATTACGTTTATACTGTAGATTCAATTATTTTACTATGATATATTGAATTGCATGGTGGGTTTCACCAGGAGGTGACATCAGTTAGAGAACCATTGGAAAACCTGGGAGTAATGGACAGCTGTTTCATCCTAGTTTGGGACTCTTCATCAGTACGCTAGAAGAGACAGCTGCCCAGTACTCCCAGGTTTTCCAATGGTTCTCCAACTGATGTCAGCTCATGATGAAATCCTTCAACCAATCAAACATAATTCCCTACAAAACCAATACTTGAAAATATATTGAATTCTTGATATAAGCAACAGCTACGGCACTGGAAACAGAAATGTTGAAATACGAACTTATTAAAAATTTCCTCAGTTTCTTGAAAGTATGTATGCTAGTGAAGTCAGGAACAACTGACTTCATTGACGGAAAATAAAAGTGATCAGATTTCCATCATTCACTTAAACTCATGTAAATAGTACGAAAAAAGAAATAAAGCGACAATGTTCCTATTTGAGAATACACCAATAATGAATCAGTCATTCATTGCAATCAATAACACAAGGCATATTAAGCATTCACTGCAGTAGTAGTATTTTGAAAAACAGCTTTTGAGTAAACAGATTTCCTTTTGCTATGATATGACGACCACTACCCTAGGAACAAACAAACGGTATTAACAACTTCAACTTGAAGAATTCTGTACGTACTCATTACTTTAGACTCACTACAAAACTGTGCAACGAACACTTACCGCTAACACAAGTTAGTCTTGGATAAAGTGGATATCTAGATAATCAGCTTATGCACGGAAACTTCAAGGAATAAGTTGTACATCCGAACTGTATTTTATCTACAACAAGTCCCATAACCATCACTTATTCATGAAGTGTGATCCCCGCCACAGACAGATTTATAAATTAACACCAAGTTGCTCAGCAGCATCCTTATTCTAGAACGATTCAGAAATCAAAGGGATAATCTAATTTAACTGTTAATTATCATCCCTATCAATAGAGGCTACTACGTCTTATGGAGTATGTGAAGCAAAAAACAATAAATAACATAAATAAAGCAATAAATAAATTAAAATGTGTCACAACTTTAATGAAAAACTACCATTCAGCCATTCTATTCAATGTGGCGAAAACAGCACGATAACGTTGAAAATCTGCTATTACCGGTGTTGTACCAATAATTTTCAAACGTCCACGAAGAAAGTCAAGATTAATTAACATATCCACTAGTTTGTCTAACTGACCGGCTTTAAACAAATGTTCGGTAGCATAGTTCCAGAAATAGGTGTGTTCCCATGATGAAACAAGCTTCAACCACCGACCACCACAGAAGGTAGAATAGTTTTTAATAAATTTGCCGTGGTAATTCTAGAAGAGAAGAAAACAATTTAAAAAAGGATCATTATGTCAATCAATGCTGGACTGAATGCATAACAACATAGGTCTGGTGATTTGAACGAGACTAAAAACACTACTTTGAACATACCTAACTCAAACAATCGTGTCAACAGTCCTAGCGCAGTAAACAGTCTGATCCTAAAAATTGGATTAGACTGTGGGTAACACTGACAAAATCATTTGAAGAACGAAGGACATCACATTATTCAGAGTTATAAACGATTTCGATGCGCTTGAAAAGCGGTGCCATTCAGTGCCAACTGTTTATAACTAGCCGTGTTAATCAACAGTTTGTATAATACACAAACATACACTTAGTCCACTCACTAATTACAAAATGATATACGTGTGACGCTTCACTTACTTCAACCTGGACAACTGGATAGTATCATCAGCACCAGGATAATAATAATATTAATAATAAGTATGTGGTTCACCACCTAATACAAGAGCCATCAATTCTAAGTAATTGAGCTCGAACTTATCAGTTGAGTGACACAGAAAATCTACAAGTAGTCAAACAGGATAGCACATATACAGACAAAGTAACTAAATATCAGTCATCAACTAAATCGGCTCAAGTAGTTCGGATTTGTCTTCTCGCCAATATAGAAAACAAACATACATCTGAATAGATTGGTAGAAAAGATGTTGACTACAGCACCGAATGACGCACAGTCGGATCTCGTAGGAAATATGAGTTTCTTCAAGGTTCAGGACATTAATCGCTTATAATTGCCTTGATCAGGCAATACTTCTTGCTAAGTAAACCCCAACATATGATAAAGACCTAAGTGGAATGGCGTATTACCTAGCTCTTGCATTCTTAGTCCATAGACCTAGATCAATTTAGATAGCTAAACAGCTGTATCAAATAATATCAGACGATAAACTCGTAATGTATCCGAAGTTACTTAAACAATACTATTAGAGTGTGCACAAACCTAACGTCAACACTAATAGCCCATATTTCTACTATTCAGTGATAAATACTGACATGCAATTGTAATTAAGATTTCAGAAATATGCCTAGGGTGAAATATCACACTGAAATAATAGCTTACTGCTTGCTCAGCAGGTCCGATGGCTGACTTCAAAAGATCTAATTGTAGACCATGTACAGTATAGCCACAACTGCCCACCTTGGATATCCAATGCCTAGCAGCTAAAGAATAACGAGTATATACAGAAAGAATTGCCTCAGCTTTTTCTACAGGTACAGCCCATAAAATTCCGCAGACCTGAAATAAACGCAAAGAAACACAGTACATAAATAAGTTCATACACTTGATAGAAGCTTATTTGACAAAAGGACTAGAAGAATAATGAAAACAATTCACATATTAGAATATAGGTCGAAACGGAGTTTATCCTGAGTGAAAAAGGATATTAAATTACCTCTCTTAGTCCTGTATGGAACGAACAAAATGTATTTATCTATCTGCAACCCGACCTAAAAATTCGATAACACGATGATTTCAAAAATAGACGAAATAACAGGAAATCATTCATTATAATACTCTTAGTTCAAACGCTTATTTTAATTGGAAGTGGAGATATATTTATATAAATAGTGGGAGGTAATGGGTAGGAAGCCTGGGATCTAGCTTTCGTACTAGTTGGCACTCATCAGCAAGGCGCATGTGCAACCTTGAAGGAACTCATGTCCCTTCTGAGATTCGAACCCACGTCACCCAGTTCTGAAGTCAGAGGCGACACCACTGAGCTATTTAGGCACTCAACTGACTTCCTGTAGGACTGTAGTGGATACTTTTAACTGGAAGGGACACGAGTTCCTTCACGGTGTCAGAAACGCCTTGCTGATGGGTGCTAACTGGCACGAAACCCGGGTCTAAGGCTTCCTACAGATTACTTCTAACCATCTATAATACTAAGACTCTCTATTAAATGCAACACGTAAGTAATATCTCTATTCTTGTCAACATTTAACTCAAGCAAATTACGCACAAGAACGCGGTTCTGCATACTGAATTATTCCATAAGCAGAACCATTCAAAACAATTACAAATTTTAGTTTACACCCCATTTTCCCACAAAATTGACAATTTAACTACCAGAACCAAAATAAACGTAAGTCACATTCAAGATATCGTGAAATATGACCATACTTCCTCTTTGGCTAGTGTATATGAACTAATTAGTTGCGTGATCCTAGGCAAAGGTGTTACACCAAACTCGTGACAGTACATTAATCAAAACAATGCCAAGGTCTAAAACTATAGCAATTAGAGCAGTGTTGATTATTTCACACTTAAGGTTAAAAACAAAACTAAGTGTCTCGAAATTTACTTACTTTAGGAGTTAAAACGATACCTGGGTCAAATATCACCAAACGACGGTAGTATGCTTGATTTTCGGTTGAAAGTAAGGATAAACTTCTTTCGAAAGCCTTAAAAAGAGAAAGAAAAAGAAAATGTACAAAGAGTACCGTAGACACGACCAAGATCTAATGGTAACAACAAAAATATTTAGAAACAAATAATCTAATGTAGTGAAATCCGAAGTTTTAAAACTGTAACAATAAAATGAGATTACCAGCCAATTAAGCAAACATATTTTTAGTGACTATAAGCCCTAAAAGTTTAAAATATAGAGTTTTGTAATATCTGGAGAACCAAAGATATAAAGTGGTTATAGTTGACTGTTGTAGGCAAAATTGTAAGCACACAGTTCAATACAGAATAATACAAATAAGTGTGTCAAACTTTGTAATAACAATCCAAAAATGAGAATGAAGAAAGCTATCACAGGAAAAAAATAATTGACCAAATGTTTATCAGATTATAGGTTTCCAGACCGTAGGTGTTACGAATTTCCTGGAATAATTTGAGCGCCGAGTCAGACTGATTCATTATAAATGTTTATCGTCAGTCTGCAGTGATAAAAACGAATTAACTTTGAATTATATCACTGAGTTTCGAACCTTTGACTTATAGTGTAGCAAAATTACCAGTTAAGTAGATTAGATGGTCAGAAAAGATTGCAGTCACGTTAGGGTATTCAATAATTTGCTGTAAAATCTTAATTAAATTCTTATTTTCCCTAAAGCTTCAGAGTAAACAATTTTTCAGACCTTTACAAACTTCCAACTTCGTTAGATTTTCTGGTCGTGTAGCTTTTTTTAAAAATTTTTTTGTTCCTCTACGTTCCCAGCGGAACATAGGGCTTTAAGCTAGAGGCTTGAAGTTTCGGTAGCAGTTATGATTATTTTTACAGGATAGGGTTGCTAGCCTTATGCCCAACCTACCCTCTTTACCAGTCTTACTACTTGCTTAGCGAGGTAGAGGAGTGCGTTGGCCGGGGATCGAACCCCGGGCACCGACGCACTGTCTTGCAGCTAGACATACAATAATCAACGGTATTCTGCAGAGTTAATCACTCTTATTTTCCTCTTGAAAACACTTTTACCTACTTTGAACTTCCCATGCAACTAAATTTCACCCAGAGGTATAAGCCATCTAGAAAAGGCTACTTAATTAGTCAGCAACTGAGTTGGTCTATCACACTAAAACATAGCTAACTATTTTCAGTGAGAAAGCTATCCAACTTATCAAATATCTGTGATGCCCCCCGTTTGGGAATATATCTATGACATCTTGATATAAATATATCCGATTTAGAAAAGTCACCACATGAAGCGTTGATCTCTCCAATAAGAAATCAACCAATGATAAATCTAAAAGATCGAATCGACTGAAGTAAACGACATTGAGGAGCTTCATAAAAATGCTTATTTTAAGACTGAATGATGTGTACAACAGCGAAATAGCAATAATGTATGATACAAATAGTGACAGTATATCTTTTTATATACTATCCAAAATCGAGATGAAATTTTAATGCAAAGAGATGCAGTAGGGATAAAATGTGTTACTTCAAAATAATATGAACACTAGGATTAACTTCTTATTTAAAAGGTACATTTAACAATATAAAAATTTACCTGATATACCGAATCATAACCATAAGCGCTTGGGCGTTTAATAGATACCCAATCAAGATATTTATGTCCACTCCCATTGTTATTAAAAATAAAATCAGAAAGACGATGGAATTGATTATACAATAGACTGCCTAGTAGGCTAACAGCAAACGGTGATCCATGAGTCATTCGACCTAAAGTAGACAGGAAAATCTCGGAATCTGTTATGCCTTGAGAAGATTTACTGGAGGGAATAAACAATTCAGGGGAATATCCAGTCCACATAGACAAAAGGCTTGCAATTTCATCTTCTGATAAATCATCATGTAAATGTAACTAAAATGGAAAAACAACCGAACTACATGTGTGAAAAAATTTTTACACCAAGACAATAAAAGTTACATATCAGTCAGCAATCATCAAGAGAATCACTGAACATGAAAAAGTTAGCGACATATGTTTCATTCTAGGTTGAAGGATCAAGGTCATGGATATCAGGGCACCAGAGATGAAATGACTTATTTTAAACAAGAATCCAATCGTTCATATTTATCGACTTCAGTTAGTTAGCAGCATCATGTGACAATCATTATCATTAGTGGATATCCACCTCCATTCCGCATGATACAACTGAGTAAAAAATAGATATCTTTGATTTTAAAGTATTGGTTTGCAAGGATTTGGTTGATTGGTTACAGGATTTCATCATGAGCTATCATCGGTTAGAGAACCGTTGGAAAACCTGCAGGGAGTACTGAACAGCTGTCTCCTTAATCCTAGTTTGGGACTCTTCAACAGTACGCAACCACCACTAGGGTTCGAACCCAGCACCTTTAGGTTATCAGGCGAGCTCGCAGACACCATTAGGCCACTGGGACCCAATCCAACAGCCCATCAATCCCAATTTCTGCCATCTCACGACATAGTGCGACCGCCAGCCAATGTCTTCGGCGAATATTTGTCCTCACACCCGACCTGCGGCTTTCTACTGGTCACGATGTCCCACTAGAACCCTGGTAAATACCTACCTGAATAGGGCCAGTCGCTAGTGAGCATCCCATTGATTTCAAGTGAGTAATCTTTGACTTTATGGATTGCTGGTGTGTTTCGGTCTTTGTAGTAACACGTTTCAACAATTCTTGACAGTCTTGCCCAAAATCACAGCTATTTAGTGCTACTAACTTATTATACATACCGCAGACTTTTACTGTATAGAACAAGTATTTCCTTTCATCCGAAAGCAACTCATATAATGACAGCAGCGTGATAATTCCCCATAATCAAGACAAACGCATTTATTCTTCCAAAACAAACTTTACATTCAAGTTGTCGTTAATATATCTTACTTCCTAACATTCAGAAGACATTATTCCAAGGAATTTTTTAATTCTAGAGATTAACTCTGCATACACAACTAGAGACTTATTTATTTTGCTCTCCACAGGAAATAAGAAACATAGGCTGTAGAAGAAAACAAAAATCTTACCTTATCCACTGGAGTCTCTAGTCTTTCAAGAACATCTGAATCTCGAGAAGTAACTACAAAGGCACCAGGTAAGTTGGAAAGCACTCGTCCAACTTCAACATCCCATACATCATCAAGTACAATAAGCAGCAAAAGAGTAATCAAACTGCCATTTTTATCAGGACCCCAGGAAACACGTTGTTGTCGACGAATAAGAGCCTTTCTAAGTCTTTCTAGACTTCCATCTAACGTTGATGAAGAAGGGACTGGGAAATTATGCGATCCAGTTGTATGCTGGATTGTATCTTTACAGGAATGATCACTAAGTTGATTCACTCTGTATTCTAGTCGATCGATCAATTGAATAATATTTTGGTTTGTAAATGAAACGGTATCACAGTTTGAATTAATAGTGCGAAGTTGACCAACGTGCATCCAAACAACACCTAAAAACGAAAAGTTCCATTCATTATATTCTTGGCATGACAGTAAAGATTCAAGCATTAAAACAAAATGTTCACAAATCGAACCAGGAGAAGAGTATTGCAAAAATGATTTTCAGAAACGGACTTAATTATTGAATTTTGACGAATTACGTAGTGTTTACTTTCATCAATGCATGAACCCATAAGCGGTTGAAGGGTTACATTTCTCCGTAATCACTGAGGCGATGTAACTGAAAAGAAAAGGTTCGGAGAACAATGTTACCATGAAATCGCCACAGAGCATTACAACTGTTGACTAAAGAGTACTCGTTTCAAAGGATGAAGAGGAGAAGCCAGTTCAAACTTCAGTTTACTGATTGAATATTGCTTTACAAGATTTCATCATGAGCTGACATTGGTTAGAGAACCAAATCCCTACAACCCAACACTTGAATATCAATGAGATACTCACTAGCGACTGGCCCTATTCAGGTAGGTAGTTACCTGGGGTTCTAGTGAGAAGTCGTGACCAGTAGGGTGCAGCCGGTCGGTTGTGAGGACAAATACTCGCCGAAGATATTGGCTGGGCCCGCGCTATGTCGTGAATTGGCAGAAGTTAGAATTCATGGAGTGGCCATTGGATCGGGTCCCAGTGGCTCAATGGTATACGAGCTCGCCTTGTAACCAGAAGGTCCTGGGTTCGAGCCCTGTAGGTGGGTGGGTACTGCTGAAGAGTCCCAAACTAGGACGGAGGAAACAGCTGTCCAGTACTCCCAGGTTTTCCAATGGTTCTCTAACTAATGTCAGCTCATGATGAAATCCTATAAACCAATCAAATCCCTACAACCCAACACTTGAATATTGCTTTGTCAAATTGGCAAACTTGTAACCTGAAACCATATTTTATTAACCTTTATAAATTAGTGCGCAAAACTTTATTAAAATAAGCTTTTAATGAAAATTTTGGCACTTCATTATGCGAAAGGAAAATAAACATTTAAGTGAAACTTTTACAAAAGTGGTCAGCGAATTATGTGCAAAAAGCGGAATCACCAACTCACTATTACCACTTAGTTATTTGAGTTTTTTTAAATTAATCATATTTCTGACAACAGCGCCCGTTACTTCAAGAATGATGGTGATAATAAGATCCTACAGCTATTTAGGGCCATTTAAGTAATGTAGCCAGAGGATTTTAATTATTTAAAATAATTTGTCCCCTTTATGGATTTAAACAAACAAATAAGAAGACGTAATTCGTTTAAATTGTGTAGTGTATTTGCGCAACACATATCGATCAATCTTATCAAACACGGACTTGTAATAGGAATATATATGTATATATGTGAAAATAATAAAGGGTTAAGGGGTGAGGAAATAGGCTCAGGTCAAGTTAAAAGGACATATTAAAGGTCAAAATAACAATGAAGATCGCCAAACCAAAGAAAGGAGGTAATAGTACATCTTTCCTAGTATCAAAACAAAGACTAGCAGGGAAGGTTTAGTGTGATGATGAAATGTTTTCGAAAGCATAAAGGTGGTTTAAACTTCCCAAATGATAGGGTTTCCAAAAACTTTAGGATGCACTCCAAACACGTTTTATACATAGGTTTAAAAGACGTGTAGACATCAATTTTATGTCCTGTCTCTACAGTAAGCTTCGCAATAGAGGAGCTAGGTCGTGTATTCCCTCATTAATGAGTTCTACAGACTCAGTCTGCTTGTGAACCCCTTGCTTTCAAAGATCGATGAGTCTTCCCCATGTAGGTGTGCCCACACGTACATTTAAACTGGTGAATGCATTGAGATGTGACATCATTTTTCGCATGTTCAAAGGGCTTAAATTGATATATCGGCTTCACATCCTCAATTATTATGATCTTAGGTGCATAAAAAGTCTTTTTAACGGCAGCGTTCAATCTTTGTCGAGTAACAGAGCTGGTATGATTCCCCACATAGGGTAGATTGATGTACACGTCTTTCTTATCGGCGAGTTGGAGAATGGATCTATCTATAAGTAGATCACTTTATTGACCCATCAAACCACCGACTAAGCAATATATCTAGGAAAGATAAACAATCGTCTTTTTCTTTTGAAGACGTAAATGATGTATTATTCTGAACTTCACTCATTCGATTTAAAATTGGGGTGGCACAACAAGGCTTATCACTTCTTATTACAATGTCATCTACATACTTATAAAGTGACACGTTTTAGATTAAATCCTACGCTAAACTCAATGTATGACGTATATATATGCTAATTATTAACAATTCACAACACAAATAAGGCTTAGTTAATACATTGGTTGCCAAATACAATCTGAAACAGAATAAGTTATAAAGTCACAAACCTTACTCTTTCCTTTGCCTGTGAAATCCAATCCGTCACAAAATTAACCGATTACAAACCCTACGACAGGCCAACATTATGACAATAAAAGACACTATACAGTAGCAGTTCTTACAAACACCGAACCAAGTAGCAACCAATAAACTACTAATGAATTAACTGATTGTCAGTAATACACTGACGGAAATCAACAACTAATTAGGTGTTGAAACGCATAGTCTAAGAAGTCATAGTTTTTTCTCACTATTCTCTAATAAAGAACGGTTGCAGATAACAGTGATGATGACTAACTAAAAACATAGAATATATTTGTTCTACGGAAGTAAGCTGTGAGCGAGGGAAGAGATTTCTTCATCATAATATTGTTCTACTATTTTGTATGGCTAACTCTTTAGCAACAATGTTTCACCGTTATATTGAAACTTTAATATCTCATGAGCACGGAATGCACTTTCTGCTTCCTAATCCCATTTGTTTTCTGAGCGTACCAGTGTATCATATGACAGATGTACCTAAGACACAAATGTACTATAAATGCTGCAAGCCTTATAAGAACAATGAATCAACAATAAAAATTTTCCACAATAGAAAGATAATTTGAATAACATAAATTCATATGAAAAGGATATCATAATTATATATCTTATTCGTGTCTAACATCCACTAATGATTTTCCTGAAGTTCACAAACTTATATTCAAATTACAATATAAAAATAATGAAACACTATAACATTTAATGCTTCATAATGAATGAAAATCCAGGTTTCAATATCATTTGGCGAGTTGAAATCTGATTCGGACATTTTCACTAACTACTGCTTCAATTCGTGAACTTGCTTTGATTGAGTTACACTTGTTTTACATTAGATTTATACAGTAGGTGTCTGTATATCTGAGCTAGCAGTTTAGAGGCAGAATACTCGCCAAACATGCAAGTGACCCGGGATTTGATTCCCGGTCGGCGCTGACAGACTGACTGGTTTCAGCGTAGAACTTTGCACCGATGGGCAGTAGTTCGAGCTGCCACACTTCACTCAGCACACAAAGCAAGAGAAGAAAGCAGAAGAAATGCAAAATACAGACAGTAAACAGAGATATAAGGCAAAAAGAGTAGTAATATCGAAGAAAAATATAGATTTTATTGGATATAAGTCACAAGGAGTGGATGCATCTGCGCCACTGAAAACGACTTTGAGCCATATCACCGATTTTCTCCAGTCTTCATTGGTTTTTACCGTCCAGAGGAACCCAGCCAGAAAGTCTACACCTTCACCTTCCTACGTGGCTTAAACTAACTTTTGTGACCAGTGCATACCTTTACCTCCCTTAGCCGGTTGTAAATCCGACAAAGACGGTAGGTCGGGCGTGAGGTTGGCAACCCCACCCTGTAAAAAACACCACTGCTACTTAAACTTCAAATCTCCAGCTTGACAACTAGGACAACTACGCCCTCTACCTGAATCGCTTTTAGACAAGGTTTTTATAAAGTTGATAAAATCCCCCGGGACACCATTCTTTAACTAACAATTCTAGAGAGTAATTCAGTCCAAGATAACCACAATATCAAGAAATAACGATTGTTAGTCAAAATTACATGTGTCCTAACAACTAAAAAAAAAATAAATCCTGACTAATGCATCCACTACATGAACGAAATCTGACCTGTTCTTTTCGTGTGACAAATACCAATTAAGCCAGACCTCTATATCATAAAGTCCGGTACACACTGAACGTACTTTTAAGACTGACACATGCAGAATTTATTCAAATCACTCCACGGGAATTTTGCATAAGAGTTTCGAGAGATAATATGCACCGATAGCGAAGAATCAGGTCCCTCATCAATTCCGCCAGTGTTCCGCCAAAGGTGTCATACACATATGCTGTCAGAATAGTTGTGTTACTTATCACACTCTAGAACAGTTCGTACGCAACTACCTAGTGGCTTAAAACACCATAAAAGACAGTTCTAAGCAATAATAAGCGGTACATGAAAATATGGATACTAATAAATATGACAGGAGTACAACAAAAGTTCATACTTGAAAATGAATACAGTATATTGATAGCTGCTATCTCGACGTGGTGGTCAGGTTTACATATCGCAATGACCCAACAAGCTAAACTGGCTAAAAGTGAAGTTCCTGCAGGGCTTACCATGCCATGAAGACTGTAAGGATAGCGATTAGATTAAAAGCAGTTACCGGCATAGTGTAGGAATTTTTACACTGTGCTGTGGGTCTGCTGGGGAACAGGAATGTAACGGTAGTAAGGTGTATCCCTCAGATGACCAGTGTGCCAACTATGCTGTCTACCCTAAGGGGTTTAGAAAACGTCGATCCCGAAATTGTACATCACGACTTACTCTACGGTGGTTCGTAGCCGGCAGTAGGTTACTAGTACGGGACCAAACCTAAAAGCCAACCCATACGGGCCGTACGGGACCGGCCTCAAGCAATTGTTCCCTAGACTCTTAGATCGCACAACACTAATTCTTTCTGTCTCAGATACCCCAAGAACGAATCAACTTCCACGGTGTGGGCAGCCAGGAAGTAACAACCACCCACACACTTCATTCTCTTTTATTTACGTCATCCTCATCTTGTTTTCTTACCACTGTTAATAATATTCTACAGACTGGTCAGTAATCTTCCTTTCATTCCGTGACTTACTTACTTTACTTCGGCTGTCTCCTACGGGAGGATGAGCCGGCTTCATGAACATCTCGAATCATCGCTGCCCAGGCGCGGCGATCTGATGCAAGGTTTTGCGACAGGGTTATCCAATTCTTGTTCCACAGACGAAGTCCGTAGACGGTTTGTAGCCCCAGGCACTCCATATCAGCCTTGACTGTACCAAGCCATGTTTTCAGCTGTCCACCCCTGCGACATCGCCAAGATGGAAATGGCGAGGGATTTAGAACTGTTTTGACCAGATCGTCATCTGGTCGGCGCAGAACATGGCCAAACCACGGAAGGCGACGTTGTTGGACCAGTACTGGAATTCGGTTGATGTTGTAGCAACGACGACGCACTTCTTCGTTGGAGAGTTTGTCCTGCCAACGAACATGCAGAATGTACCTGAGGCACCAATGGTCTACTACCTCGAGTCTGTGTAGGAGAGTTCATGCAGTTTCATGGGAATTAGCTACGAGTGATGTCCCCAGCATCGCTCGGCCTTTTGTTTGAGAGTGCAGCTAGTCTTTACACAACCAAGTGTGACCTACAAGGCAGTAGGAGTGGAGTAGGGAGTCCACTATCCATTGGCAGCCGGTGACCGGAGTCCGGTTCATACACCTTTTTGAATGGGGCCAGATATCCAGGGCATCCAATAAGTAGTGACAAGAGGAAAACACTCGATAGTCTCTTAAAGCCACGTCGCTAACTTCATACTGGAGCACTTAACGTCAAGACCCAGGCATCACTAGCAAGAACTCTGACATCTCAGACTACGGATGTATGTTGCGTTTCAGAGACAAGCATACAAGACCCGAGTGTGGTCATTCACTTAACCTCAACTCGCCAACAAAGTGAATCTGCAAAATTCAACTAACGAGTATCAGGAGACTCTTCAATTAGTTCGCGAATACCTGCAGGTGTAGGGATAACATTGAGTGTTAGAGCAGAAAAATTCCCTTCTTGACTGGATCCCAGTAGATAGTCGTACGTGTGCGTCCCGTCTGAAAGGGTTCGTTAGAAGGAAATACGGCATTACTCGTCGTTGCCTTTTCATAGTCTCTGTCTACGCCCTAACCGAATGCAGTTCCAATGAATTAAAGGATGACTTCTACCAAAAACTAATTCGCTGCATAAAGCAAAATGTTCAGATATAGTCGTTTTAGAAGACGACTTCAATGCCGAAGTAGGGAAGTTATGCCAAACTGAGAAGTATATTAGTGGTACCTACGGAGTTCGCTGCCAACGATCCGACAACGGTTACCATCTCCTACAGTTCTGTTAAGATAATCATTTGTTCCTAACTAGCACTAACTTGAGGCACAAAGACATTGCCTAACCTGGCGACCTACATCACCAAATCAAAGTTGGACTCAAATAGACCACATAGCAATAGGCTATTGTTGGCGAGGGTGAGTAGAAGACTGCCACTGCTTCTAGAACACGTGCATCGACTCCAATTCGCATAAAAGCCTTCTATATCGAAGATGAGTGAACCACAGAATACAAACCACCAAACATTTACACTATCCTAGATAAACAAAGTTAATTCCCCTTTACAATTATTAAAGATATATAGTGAATGTATAAGCAATATCCATTAAAAGATTTAACAAACCTCCTGGAAAACAGTCCATGAGAAGAGCTGACTCTTGACGTAGAACACTAGCGGATAGAACTGACTTTCCTGCCCCCGGTGGACCATGAATTAACAACCAAGCGTTCGTAGGAGGTGGATTAAAATCAGCGGTGCCTTTTGAATAAGTTTTAAATTTTGGAGTAATATCGACTTCAGCTAGCTTATTTATCGGCAATTCTTCTACTCTGAAGTGATCAGCTAGTGCTCGTAATTTGTTTGAAAGAATATTTACCAGGTCTGGACGATTTATATAGCGAGAGGGTTTGTCTGGAACTGCTCCCTCAAGTAACAATTCTCTCAAGTCGGACAAGCTATGTTCCCTTTTTCTACAAACGGAAAGTTGCACAAATGCAAGAATAATTAGTTAACACTGATGGGGAGACGAAACATAATTACTCAGGTGTAATCACTTCAGTAAAGAAAATTTCCCTAAAAACTGCACTAAAATACTTCATGGTTGATAAAAATTAATATTTACACGTTTATAATAAAGAGAACTAACAGATTTTTGGTGACACTAAATGAAACATCATGAGTGGACAAACCAATACTGCATAAAAAGGTTGAAATGAAGTGACTGATGTTCAAAAAGTAATCAATAAGTTTATGAAAACGACTATGAATCGCCAACTTAGCAACCACCAAACGACTGCCTGAATGTGACTCCAAATAGTACGACTCTGTACTTGTTTTAAACAGTTGGCACACTGCAAAGAACTTGTTGGGTTCGGTCAGCTCAGGAAACTACTGATTGTTTTGCACTAACTAACTGGTACACCACAGTTCCATGGGTTAGCAGAAGACAATAAATCATAGGTTACACCACAATTCATCTGTAATACGATTACAAGGGTTCTTAAGCCCAAGCGTCTTCTCATGGTTACTGAAAACAATTCGGAAAATATTTCTCGGCTAAGAACCTATATTCCGATGCCTCTGTGAATTCCCTTCACATTTGCAACACCGATCAGGTCTAAACAGAACACAGTTTTAATAAAACGGATTACAATTGTCTTTGGATAACACCGTTATATTAATCTAAAGGCAAATAAAGGGTTGCGAGAAAAATCAAACCAGTAAGATAATATCCATGACTTTAGAGTTGGAAGATCAAGTCAGTGAGATATAACTAAAAAACTTCTCAGTTTACCAAAAGCACGCCATATCTCTTGGAATAGGAATTACGGCATACATTTTCAATCTAAACAGCCAGACGAAATGTTCTGCCATATTCTCGACAAACAGGGAAACGTATAACATTCCAAGGTCGATAGATTCCAGCCATGAAACTCCGTAAAGCGCATACTTTTCCTACGCTGCACGTGTTAGTTACAAAATTATGACCAGCTGTTGTCATTATGCATTGTAACAATTCCCAACCAACTGTGAAAAGAAAGTCTACTAGTTGACACCATTCAATTGAGTTTCGGTGAGCAAATAATTGGAGCTAAACATCACTTATTAACCAACATGTGACAATAAACACAAATGACTCCTATTATTATTCCCCTGCGTTCCGGATGGAACATCGGGGCTCATCACATATCCATTTCACTCTCTTCTCTGCAATCTTCATTTGCCGAATACACGACTCACCATATGCCTTCATCTCCTCACACGATCTCCCCCATATCACCCTCGAACCCATGCCCAACTCATCATTCCCCACTCGGGTTCCACTCAAATGCCTTGTGCGAGATGTCACTCAACGATCTCCTCAGCATATGCCTGATCCATCCCAATTCTCCTCAACAAAATTGTAGGGCTTTGAGGTCTTGGTTGATTTGTTTTCAGAATAATTTGATGTTCACTTAATCTTTCTGGCTATCTGATTTTCAGTATGGAATGAAGGTAGCTATTGATGACAGTATGCAGCAGGCTGTTGGAAATGCTTTCAGTGATGCTCTAGGTCTCTAAAGCATTTGGAAGTACTGACTTTACATTAGCTTTAAAAATCAGAATCTCGTTCTTTATGCTCAGTGCAAGAGAATTTCAGACCGATTCCATATGAACGAAGGGTTCTCTCACCTTACAAATCCTGACTTTAACATTTTCATCCATACCACGTGTAGTTGAGACGATGCTGTCTAAAATTCTCCCGTTGATGGTGATGGGTGCTTGCTGTTGTTTGTGGTGTTGGTTAGGCATCTTCACCACCTCTGTCTTCTCTATGCTCGCTTGATGCCGTCATCGCTGCAAACCTCTTCTGCCAATTCGCAAGTTTTCACCACGTATTTCAAGTTTGTGACATCAAACATATATCATCCATGAAATCGGAATCTGCTTGTCGGCTCAACGTATTTGTCTTCTCGCTCCGCACGGTCTGCCATATGATACAGCCTACCACTATCAGGAATATCAATGAAGATAGTAGGTAGCCTTTCCTTACTGTTTCTAGCCAAAGATTTGATTCCAGCGCATCTTTTACTCTCCCCCAAGATGATGAGACTTTTGTCTGGTGCGGACAGGAGTATGATCTTACGCCAGCTTTTGAAAAGACTCAAGTCGTTCTTTCTTGATAGGTGGAAAAGGTAACCTTTCTCAAAGTCATTAGACAGTTTCCCCTCCCTCCAAAGTTTCAGCACCTTCGATGCCCTCGCGGAAGTAGTCATACTTCTTGCACTCAGATATGGGTTTTGTACACTCCTATATTGATACAACACGACAAATAAATAAAATTAACGTTATTGTAGGGTAGCTCATTCTATTGGTAGACTAACCAGCAATGATATGCATTTGGTAGCATTCCTCAGGCTACTGAAATCATTAAGAAACAGGTTGTTTTACATACTACACAAGCCTTAAAGAAACCTTTGTTACAGGTGATTTACCACAAACAATTCAACGAAGAGTAATTTTACACATGACGAGGGTTATGAAGTCAAAATCGCGTTTCCGTGAGTATTGCTCTTAATCTGTAAAGAGAAGTTGATCTTTTATTGTACTAATTACCAGTTTATTCGTACGTGGTAACTATCTTTAAGCCAAAAAATGTTAAGAAGTGATGCCTTCAACGAGCCTTAAGAATTATGGTTTCCCACTTATAGTAATAACTACATAAGTTAATTATGATATGTCATTTCAAGCCATGTTCATCGGTTCAAGGGCAGTAATGAGTGACTGTACCCAACGTTAACTAGGCCAATCAATTCATATAAAGGATTAAGCGCTCTAGATCACCAGGCAATTACGTTTTAGTTCACTAGAAAGTAACTCTAAGAATCTAACGTATTACTACTGATGGAACCCACTCTAGTTTCCAACCAATCAGGCACTACTGATGCGAAAATCTCGAACACATTACTGTATGGGGAAGACGTGAAACCAGATAACCACTTACTTGAACGGAGAGGGGGCAATATGTTTTCGTATCTCTGCAGCCAAAAATGAGCCTTCAGAATCCAGAGCGATCAGAAAATCATCAAAGGCACTTGTCGGACGCGAGCGTATCAGTTCAAGAATTTTCCTCGATTTGCTTTGATTTGTCTTTTCCAGTCCTACAAGTTCAACTTCATTTAGAGACACCCAGCCTTTTGAATACAGATGGTCCAAAATAGAATCAGGCTCAAGGGACTGTATAATCATAGGGGAACATATGCGCAAAGCACGAGCCTTATCTGGGTCCATTTGTTTTCGTATTACCGGTTACGTTTGTTCATACAATTCTTGAATACTTTAACAAAATCTTGACAGTGTCGCCAGTCTTTCTTCTCACTCATGCATTCAAGTACAGCATAGTGCTCATTCAAACACCCAGTCCGAGCAATCATAGACGTAACTGGGTCCTCATCATCTTCCGGGTTAGAATTTTTACTGTTACTTTTATTTCTGACGGTAGAATAGTCGTGACTCATAAATACTTAAATACAAATATAATTCAAACGAACGCCAGGTCAAGCACTCTTTAAACCAAGGTTGGATTATCCAATATCCAATATCTGCGTGAAGAGAATCTATAAGCCGACTGCTTTCTTAGAACTAGATCATATGTGTCTTCTAGAACTTTAGAAGATTCCAGAACAGTAAATATTGCAGGGATCTTTTCATCATCACCAAGTGAAGGAGTCGATGCGTTTAATGGTAAAAATGATCTCAGATATTCAGCTACCACAGATCAGTGAATCCAGCAAGTGAGTGGGTATTTGTTCATTTTCAAAGGGGTATACCAACAGTGACTCTAAACTACAGCAGCCTAAAACCTAACTGTACAGCGAACCGATAAACGACCTTGAGAAATCAGTCAAGTGAGTCCGCAGTATACTGTCGTAATTATGGATGCTGAACACCTCTTGAGTAGCGAATTCCATCCAGATCTCTTATTTAATTACTATCCGGAAAGCGAACTGATAAGAAGGCAGAAAATGTATGGATGTGCCGGTGTTACGTACTTGCAAACGTATACCCGGTGCAGTGATGGATTTATCTCCAGGTGAGAAGACTGTTGAAGCATGAAGACAGTTAGAGAAGTTATGCCGTTGTTTTATACTTTTTAGATTCTGCAGGCACATTTTCCGCTTGGTCAAAGTTACCCCTGACGAAAATTTTGGTGATGTGTCATAAGTGGGTCCTGAAGAGACCACTGACTTTGACACCGCAAAAAACATAGAATTAATAATTAGCTACAGTACAGCCATAGTGGTGGTCGGACTCTTGCCGACCATGCAAATGGTCCGTGGTTCGATCCCCTACCGCCGCACACCTGATATAAATCGGCCGGCACGCGAAATCTGGGCTACCGACTTCGAATGTTGAAAATCCTATGCTTGCACTAAAAGTAGTGTGTGGAATCTAGCTATTATCAAAAAACTGCCAGCCCTAGGTTACGTTCATCACGTGATCAACCAAACCCATGATTTCATCAGTCTTTTCCATGGAACTCAAACCAATTCTATAAAAAAATTTGGGCGTCGCCTCAAAAAAAGGATCAGAGAAGGGAATCGGTTGAGAAACACCATGACATACAGTTATGTCCATGAATTTACGTTTAGGGCTTGGTTTAACCTGATTTTGAAGACTCCCGTGTAACTACTTTTAACAGTGCACTACTTTTATATGAACGTTTCAAATTATGCACTTTGACCATAGAGGTTTTTCGGAGGTCGAGAGAGCTGTAGTGCAGGTCATTTACACGTTTGTTAGGTAGTTTCGTTTTGGGCTTCTATAGTTTAAGGTCACTCATATCAGCTTCTTCAGGATGACGTCTTTGGCAGAACTTTCAGCTACCTTCTTCTATCTAAATAATAACTGTTAGCCTCCAGTTTTCATCATTCACCGTTCGGTGCTGACCTTCGCTGTTTAATTCATCTGGCTAGGTTGAAGATAGGTGGTCAAGCGACCACGCCACCCGTCCAATTGTTCGTAATTAGTGAAGCAGACATCACCCACATATAGTTTGGACTACTTACAGACGATGATTCGTACTTCCTAATAGTGATCCCTTTTAACGTGCTAATCACTACACTTGCTTCTTGCAAAAGACGGTATCACAGAACAGTTTACTGCGGTGAAGGTACGCTGAGAAGTAGAATAGTGCCTTTATCACCTACGGTGTACATGATGTAGTCTGACCTACCTGTGATGTTCATGGCTCTTACTCAGCCAAAGCGTAGATTGGGTTTTCTAACCCGATCTACGATCTGTTCCAATTACGGAAACCCGTACTGCTGCGCGCTTAAGTTGCTAAAAGTCAATGGAATTCATGAATACAAGCGAAAACAGTGTTCATTTTGGATGAAAGTTACGTGATGTTCATAAATAACTTCAGTCGCGAATGCTTCCTCCTAAAAATGCCGACTGGAAAACATTCACACTGAGTTAAATTCCCTCAAGGTTCCTCTGCATTCGGATGACTTATAGATCTCTGTTCTCACTTACGTAATTACGTCTATCTAAAAACTAGGTCGTTCCGTTTTCATCTCAACTATATATTTCTCCACGAGTTTTTTCGCTCTACACTGCTGTTCTGAATATTCTTTATATAAATTTTCTCAGGGAAGATCTGCCGAAATATCTTCAGATTATATGGATGTAATGCTCATCCTCTTTTAAACGCCAGGGACGTAAAGTTAAGAAACAGCTGCAGTATGCTTTTCTTCTGTATCAAATAGGTCGACTAACGTAAACACATTTCGAGATAACGGATTCCCTAGCGTTACAATTAAATAACTGTTATATTAACAGCAACACTGATGTAAACACCCTTTCAGATCTTGTTTTCCTCATTAGCTGTAGGCCCATTTCGTCAACTTAATGGGCTCAGATGTTGAAGAAAGCAATTTTACAGTATCACTGATTGCTTCATTCTATGGTATACCAGTAAATTATGCATTTCCATAGTTCGCATGAGTATTTTGTCTGAAGATAAACGTTTGCGATGTTAATAGTACACAGTTTAGGACATTAATGTGATTTCCTATAGTGAGTCGTATAAGGCGAGAAATATTTTGCTCTGAATTATATCGCGGTGTCTATTCACTTCAGTTATGCAGTGGTGAAAAATCCGCTGCATTTTTTTAAAAGTAATAGTGGCTTTTTGATTTTACAAAGGGAAATACTTTGATGGGTAGAAGAGGTGAAAAGATAAGGAAGGATGTACGAAAGGGCAACACAAGCTTCTTAGTATAAAACTGAATCTTCGAAAGATTGTTTATATTTCCAAATGCTTCTGAGTTCTCAATAACTATACCACGAAATCTCAGATGTCTCACCTTCCCGAGTTATCATTTTGGTTTCCACTTTGCCACTTCTGATGAATACTTGCCTGTTACCACATCTGGAAGACTTCATATCAATTCAAAAACTACACGGTCATTTGAGTCTCTTAGTGGATTCATTACTCGGACCAATCACCTTCCAAATAAGGGGTCTGAGTAGGAAACTCAGAACGGAATGTATGTGCTGCGTGTTATGAACTGTAATTATGGTGAGCTTTTGTGGTGTCAGAATAACCTGCAAATGTTGCAACGTACCATGAGGAGGAAACCTGTATACATAGAGTTATAGGGTTAAGTGCGCAATGTGGCACAACCACCATAACAGTGTTTATTTTAAATAGAATTCTGAGGTTCACTGTCACAGAACATACCACGTTGCTATATGTTCATTTAGCTGCGTCAACAAATGTTTCTCCAATTAAGATTAGACAAGGAAGACCTTCAAATTCACTTCTCACTCAAACATCACTTGTCTATCTCACGACAATCATTTTATTTGCGCACTATCATACTCTATTTTATCTTAACTAACTGGGCCTTCAATAAAGCTAAAACTTACTCTTTGTTCATATTTGATGCTTGCTAAAAGTCAGGTTGAAGAAAAACACAACATCACCAGCATTTGAAGAGAGCTATATTTTCATTGAAAACTTCATAGACCAATATGGTAAGTACTGAGCATTGCAAATGTGTCCCATCATTCCAAGGAGTCTCCAGCTCCTTTTTTGTATAAATCTTGTAAATGTACTTTCGATGATGTATTCTACATAATTGTATTTAATACCGCTCAGTTTCCTAGGACGTTCTCCTATTCCTAAAGAGGCTTCCGATCAAGTGGCGGCACAGCACTTATCCAAATATGCGCTGTTTAACGACTGACCATAACTATCAGCGGGAAATGGAAAGAATTTTGGGATTCGCTCAACAGTGTTGGTGGTATTAGGAAAAGGGTTACGACTAAACACCCATAATAACATGTTTTGATTGCTCGTTCAAAGAAAACAATTTAAACCTTTGAAAATCTATTAATTACTCACAAATCAGAATTGTAACTCATGATATGAATGATCGTGCCCGGGAAAGTTGCAGGAAATTCTTCTACACAGAAACTGTAGAAAATATAAACTAATATTACTGATCACACACACTTCGGCCAGTGAACGTTGTGATATTTCGAGAATTCGATTGGTACAATAGCTAACTCCTTTATCAAGAAAATTAACTGTAAGTTCCTATTATTTGCGAAGACACTCTGAATCTATAATTACTACAACTACTTCTCGACTTAAGCTCAAAAACACCAGTACTTGTAAGGAAGAAGCTGTATTGTATAGCAATTAAAATTGAAGTTAGTACAGAGTCTGTGAACAAATGTTTTACAATAATTATGTTATGTACTCGTCGAGTGGTGTTTAGTCCTGACGCTAAAAGAGGAAAATCAGAAGACCACCTCGTTCACGATGATACTTGTATTTTCCAAACAAAGAAAATTGTGACTGTCACACAAGTGTGACAGTGAAAGGGTACGCAGTGCACGAAATGTGTGAACAAGTCTGAACAAGTGTATATAAGTGTACAGTGCAACAGTATATATGAAAATGACTAATATACATGAACCAGTGAGATAGATAGTAGATTACCTTAACGTCATTGGATTCTGATTGGTTGCAATGTCATGTGATAAAAAGGTCATACATTGTTTATTTAGTTGATGGGCAGACAAAGCATATCATGGATTATAATGAAATATTGATCATTGTAAACATAGCAAAGTATATCAGACTGTCAAAACCAAAACACACATCATGTTACTACATATCAAATGATACTGTACTTTCATTCCTCTTCTTTCGTCTTCTTTCAGCTTGTAAACTATAGAACCGTTCGCGCTTTCGAGTTGACAACAAATGGTGACCAAGGCCAATGAACAGACGTTCAATGTTCACATTCATTTACGCTCCCCAGCAAAAAAGGGTACATATCATCTGTCAATGGAGTAGAAGATTGAACGATCAATTCTTGGTTGTTTGCTCAAAATCAACTTCCCCAATTTTCGCGGAGGCATCAATACGACAGTCATCGTCTCATCGGTCGCTGTTCAGAAAGAAGAGTGAAACATCGTCAGAAGTAATCTTATGATTTATTATTGTAATATTTGTTTTCAAACCTTAGTTCGCTTATTCCTTTTATATGTTGG